CTTCCAGACTGGCACCAGAACTTTGTATCACTTAAATAAACTTCACCAGGGTTAATTCTTTCTTTTCTGAGAATTTTCTGTTTCTAAAGCAAGCAACTGATCGCATTATTCCCTAAACTGGATTTCCAGAATAAATAGCATATAGGTATTTTCATAGGGAAGTGGTGCTGAAGTTTTAAGAAGTTTTCGAAACCAAATTAATCATAATGAAAGTTCTGGACTAATGAACAAGTCATTAGTTGTAAAGTATTATCAAAATAGTCATGACTAAGGCTAATGATTCAACAGTTGGTGTGTCTGTATATTGTGTTAGGTAAAATGGAAGAGGTTTGATTCAAAACACTTGGCTGAATATTTCCTGTCTTATCGTTTTATAAGTCACATATCAGTTGCTCATAACATTTAAGCACGCAATATGAATTCTTAGTCGTAATTATTGTGAAGAGTGAAATTCCAGTATTTGGCCTGGACTCAGAGCTAACAAATCAAAGTTAATTTGATCGGGCCGAACTGCGTCTTTCTGTATAGCTTACGTAGCGTTTATGTCACTCGTTTTAAATTATACTAAAACAAGTATCTCAAACGATGCAGTCTGCGCCATGCAGTCAAATGTTTCTCTAACACAAGATCATGTGCTAAACAGCAGAAGGGATAGTTGGTAAATAATTGTTCGTTGCCTGCGAATCAGTAAGAGTATTCCTAAGAAGACAGTTGCAAATTAATATCTGTAAGGATTCAACTAACCGTATCTAGGTCAACAACCAGCAGCTGAGCCACACCGTGACTTTGAATTTAGTCAGAAACGACCTTGTTTTTAATGGCTCAACAACGTGCAACACTCAAACAAAGCAACGAAGGTAAATGTTTAACCAAAGCCAAACAATAGAAGCCAAGACCATGAAGATTGAAGAACATAAAACGTTGTTAAAGGAGATCTGCGTAAAAGTTCAAATACGGGACAAGGAAAAAGAGCAAACACATAACATAACTATTCAATAAAGCATTTTGGAGAGATTTTCAGCGTATGCTTTCTGTTACAATACCTGTGTGGCAGAAAATTTTTTTCAATGTTGTTACGCATTCCTTATAGTAGATTGAAAAATAATTACACATTCCATGGAAAAATTCTCTCAATTGTCCCTTCAGAGAGCCTGTAACCGCAGAGAGACTAGACACCGGCTCAAACTACATGGGGGTATGCAACCAAGTCAAACGCTCTCCCTCTCTTCAAGAGACATTTATCTCTTGAACCAATCAAAGAGATGGGCAGCCAAATATGTGATACGGCTAAAGCAGAAATCTTATGACGACAGGCTTTAAACCTAGGATTGTTCACTCTGAGCAACAAAAGAAAAGGAGGTAATCTCATAGTGGCACACAACATTATAAGTATGTCAAACCACCCGAACGCAAGCATATTAGCAGAACATAACCATTACGCTCTTCTAGGCAACTCTCGAAGTACTGCGCATGAAATAGCGAACTCCCAGGCATGCTCTCATGTTTCCTCGTGAGAAGCTGCTCTTATTCGGAATTCTTTACTTGTTGTAGTGACCACAGGCCCACCGGTGAACAGCTTTAGGAGGAGACCTGACACACACATACTCACCCATGAATCACCCTCCTCCTTTTAGAGCGGGTGTATCTAGTGCATGCGTCATAAACTACCATGATTTCTATCGCCGCATATCAGTAACTAATTCCTATCTCTCTTATCATCATCTCTATTTCCCCTCTTATTCTTCCTATTCCGCCTTCTTACAAACCACCAACTGATTAAATTATTTGTTACTCTCTTAGTACTTAGACCACCACTTCATTGTTTTCAAACTGCAAACGACCTACCTCCTGCGTGGTTATGTGATTGCTCATCGTATCCAGAAATCTCATGGCCTTGAGACGAACGCGCTCAATGAACTGCAAGAGTTTATCAATCTTTATGAAACCGTGTGATGTTCACTAAGATTGTCTATCACCCCTAGGTGTGTAACTGGAGTCATCTACAGAAAGCCTACTGCTGACGTCGAGGACGACAATCGCATGCTGGAAGGATTATCCCGATCTTCCCGTCTCGGATTCACCCATATGCTGATTCTAGAGGACCTCAATCTTCCTAAAGTCAGTTTTGCGGAACATACGTATAATGGGGGTGAAAACTCTACTGAAGCCCGGTTCTTCAAAGTCATTAAGGATCAAAGATTATTCGAAAATGTAAAGTCGGCGACCCGTTGGAGAAAGTCAGACACCTTCCTGCTTAGGAAGGGTATTTGTAAAGAGTTCCTAACTCACAATCGTGGCTCCCCCAGGGAAAAGCGATCGTGCCGTCACGACTTTCAGTTTTATCATCAGAACTGAGGTAATTCATCTTACCAAAAACAGGTGCTGGAATTTCAAACGCTTGGATCCGTCAGCTTTACAGGACAATCTACAACAGATGAGCTAGGAAGTTTACTCTCAGCTTGATGTGAATGCTCATTGGGATTTCTCACTGCACACGATCTTATGTGCTACAAAGCAGTTTGTTCCTTAAATGGTCTCCAAATTCTACAAGCAACCTTTAGTCATCAAGAATCGCACTCTTCATTTGCTAAGCCGCAAAAGGTACTGCTGGGCGGAATCTAAACAAACTGATAACAACAACGCATACATGCAATACAAACAAGTAAGGAACATATGCCCAAAGGCAATAAGAGATGACAAGCTACAGTGCTAGATAAACTTACTTACTTACTTACGCCTGTTACTCCCAATGGAGCATAGGCCGCTGACCAGCATTCTCCAACCCACTCTGTCCTGGGCCTTCTTTTCTAGTTCCATCCAATTCTTGTTCATTTTTCGCATGTCTATCTCCATTTCTCGGCGTAATGTGTTCTTTGGTCTTCCTCTTTTCCTTTGACCTTCAGGATTCCATGTGAGGGCTTGTCTTGTGACACAGTTGGGTGCTTTCCTCAATGTGTGTCCTATCCACTTCCAGCGCTTCTTCCTGATCTCTTCCTCCACTGGGATCTGGTTTCTTCTCTCCCACAGTACGTTTTTGCTAATAGTGTCCGGCCAATGGATCTGAAGTATTTTGCGTAGACAATTGTTAATAAACACCTGTATTTTCTGGACGATGGCTTTTGTAGTTCTCCAGGTTTCTGCCCCATACAGTAGAACTGTCTTGACATTTGTATTGAAAATCCTGACCTTGGTGTTGGTTGACAGTTGTTTTGAGTTCCAGATGTTCTTCAGTTGTAAATACGCTGCTCTCGCTTTGCCGATCCGCGCCTTCACTTCTGCATCAGATCCACCCTGTTCATCAATGATGCTGCCCAAATACGTAAAGGTTTTTACATCTTCCAAATCTTCTCCGTCAATTGTGATTGGATTGGTGCATTCTGTGTTGTATCGGAGAATCCTGCTTTTCCCTTTGTGTATATTGAGACCTATTGCTGCTGAGGCTGCTGCCACACTGTTTGTCTTCTCCTGCATCTGTTGTTGCGTTTGGGATAGAAGGGCCAGATCGTCTGCGAAGTCTAGATCATCCAACTGCATCTTAGATGTCCATTGTATCCCGCGCTTTCCTTCAGACGTTGACGTCTTCATGATCCAGTCGATCACGTGCCAGATAAAGCTTATCGATAAATTTGTCTCGGATCCGAAAAGCTTATGCCGTAACGCAGCCTCTCTTCGACAAATCAGAACTGGGGTTTTCCCACTGTTATATCCTGATGGCCCGATCAACAGCGATGTGACGCCACTGACCTGGCTGAACAGTACCCTCAGAAATTTCAACAGACCCAGACTAACTGTATTGATGAAAGCTTCATCTACAACTCCATAGGACTTTCAGAAGCGAGTCTGAGCTCTGACATAGTGTATCGGGAACTGCGGCACCTCAAAAGGCACTTCTCCTGGTCCGGATATGGTTCATTCTGCTATACTAAGGAAAGCAGCTTCAGTCTTGGCAAGACTGCTCAGAGTGATGTCCTCAGATTCGCGGTCAACCATATATGTCTTACCAATAAGTTCAAACGATTAGGTATTAAGTTACCTTTAATTGATTGGCACACTTTAAACCTGAAAAGTCAACCTTTTAAGGTCAGGGTTGAATTCACTTTCGTTCAGATTGTTGAATATCCAAGTGGGATTCCTCAGGGTTCAGTACTAGTACCTCTTCTTTTCTTGATTTATACAAACGATCTTTCACAACAGGCATTGTCAGACTGATGATGTGAAACTTTGGAGAGAAGTATGCAAGCAAGAGTATAGACTGGAACTTCATGAGGATCTGATTCGACTTCAAAGTTAAGCGGATGACAATGGACTTATCTTCAACACTTCGAAGTGTAAGATAGACCATCTGAGATATGTTGCAGACTACAACTACCTCCTGTGGAGGTATCCCAAGTCGAAAAATATTTAGGATTGTTGGTACCCTACGATTTTAATTCTCACGCTGACTGCGACAAAAGTGCCTTCCAAGCAAACCTTGAACTGGTAACATTGAGGCGCATTTCAAGCCATTTCGACGGAAGAGCTGTCCACATTATCCTTAACAGTTTTATTCACCACCATTTAGAGTACGGAAACATAGTATTTTCCCCCTCACTCCAAAAGGATAAGGACACTCTGCAACGTATCCAACAACGAGCCACGGAATCAGTTTCGGGACTCAAATTCAAGCCTTATGAAGAGTACCTCTAACCACTGAACCTTTACCTATTAGAGTACAGGCGTCTTAGATGTGACCTAATGGCGTACAGCATCCTAAATGCTTCTGGACATCCCCTTAGACGCCTACTTAAGCTTAGTCCTAACACAAACATTAGGGCTAACAGCTAGAAACTGGAGACAATACAGCAGAACGAACTGTAGACACACTTTTTACTCCTTAAGAGTGGTCAAGTGATGGAATTCACTGCCAGCTGAGCTGGTTCAAGTGACTTCCTAGTAGTCCTTAAGAGGAAACGTGACATATTCTTAAGGACTAATGGAATTATCTTACTATGATTCACCATTTTTTCTTCATCTTTTATCGTTAATAGACCTAGGTTCCTTCCTGGAGGTATTGGTGATCCACCGCTACTAGATACGGAAGTCCATTAGGCGAAAGCTTTTTCTATTCCGTCTAAAACTATTTGAACCATATGAAAATACACAAACCTACAAATAATCACCAAATCGACTAGAATAAATTCAGTCAAGCGTATAGACTACCAACTTGAAACAGTGCCGATACAACAAGAAGTGAGCGTAAAGAAAACATTTGATTTATCCAAGCTCGTAAAAGGATATTGGATTAGGGATACGCTCCGATACAACCATTTGAACCATTTGACTGGTACGTTACAGTTGGTTTTTGGCAAGTAAAAGCTTTAATATAGACAGAACTCATTTGATTTCACTACATAAAGTAAGGTAAGAATTAATTCATCTTTTGTCTTTGGATAAGTGTTACCCATTATATTGAGATAAGCTGATTAAGAAGTATTTTGGTAACCTACCCTAGCTCCCAATTCGGAAATTTTGGGGAAATCATCAAAATGACCTTGACCGGGGTTAAAGGGGAATTTCGGGGAAATATTGGGGTTTTTGTGCCATTTCTCCAAAATCTCAAAGTTTACTATGGCGGCTTCCCCAAAATTTCTCCGAAACTTCAAATTTTCCCCAAAATTGGTTGATTAGCTATAGCTGATGTTTTATTGGTCTTTATGTCGAATCGCTACATGAAAAACATGTGAAGGCGAATAATTATAGCTTAAGGTGCGTATAAACTCATCAAAATGCATATTAATTAATATGCATATACTGTTTTATTTTACTTAAGTGAAATAAAACAATATGGTTGTCAGAAAATGCATCAATTTTTATAATGACAATAAAATACCATATATTAAAATATGAGGGGTTTTTACTTGAAATTTCCCTAGACTCCAGGGAAAACTAAGAATTTTCATATGGCTTTGAGGAAAATCTAAAAATCCTCTAGAATTTCCTCGAAATCCGGAGATTGTGTTCCTTGATCTTTGTGACATTGTGAACATATATTTTCACAATGTCAAATATGGTTATAACTATATTTGTATTAAATATGTTTTGTATGAACGTTTCATTATTTGAGACGTATTGTTAGTAATCGACCATTAAACGTACTGCTGCATCAGGCCAAAAGCAGGTCGTTACTCCTTTTGGTTTGTTTGAACGTATAAGAGTTTCACTTAGATCCAGAAACGCTCATTAACTAAACAATTAGAGGTTTTTATTCTGTTGTCAATGTTCATGTTTTAATTACCAGCAGTTTACCACGCGAACATGTCAATCATGCACATCACTTATTATCCGTTTTCAACAATTTGGCATAATCATCCAGCTTCCCATCTATGTCTTAGGCGGGGAAAATTTAAAATTCTTGGCCCACAATATTAGGACGTACAGTATTTAGTCACTGGATGACTAATTTAAGGCCACTAGGAATTTCAGTGAGCCAGATTCAGTAAATGTACTTCGTTATTTCTTGGGAATGGTGACTTTATTGCAACCTTTGTTGAACACTTTGAAGGGACATGTTAAAAACTTTATGTTATCCTCAAGAGCCAAACTCACTTTCTCTTCCGCAATAGCATTAAACTCAACAATAATGCTGTCTTACATGACCCCATCAATTTTATGTACCGACGCGTCACATATCAGTAGGCTCACTGTTTTGTTGAAAGGCTAACAACTAAATATGATCATCAGCGTTTTTCTTAGGGCATTAGATTCAGCCTGGATAATGGCTAACCAAATCGTATGTTCGAGCTCCGACTTTGCAACTCCGAGCTTTCACTACCTGAAGTTTTGTAGTAATGTGATATAATACAGGGTGCATTACACTGTCCTAGTGGTACGTTGGCTTTGTATTCACTGCGTATTAGCGGACAAGGTCATCAAAATTGTCACTTATAGGGGATTGTTTGTCGTGATGCCATTTATGCACAGTAGTCCGAAAAAAATTACTTCAGTCATTAACTGGGTGCAGACGTTAATGGGCTTTCCTTTGTTAACATCAGCTAGCAAGTGGTCAGAAAATTGGTTCCCAAAATAAAGTAGAGAACATCAACTATAATGAACATTCGACTAAAAGAACTTCTAATCCAGAGGCATGTAACTGTTCTCTGGAAGTTTTTATCGTCCTTTTTTACTGCATTCAATGAATACTTGCCACTATTTATTACTGGTCGTTTGGTTAGTGTAACTAGAATTAGGCTGATTATTGCGCCCTTGCACACCAAGAGGTGCGGACCTGAAATCTTATCCAGCACAAAGAAAAGGGGACTAGATAGTTGACAAGCAACAACCGTCACCATTACTACCTGTCCACACCGTTTCCTGACATGCGGAAAGATTTGAAAATTTGCATGTAGTAACACTTTGTGACCTTTTTACTACGCCTTTTATAGTAACACCATTCTCATTCTTTAACTATCAAGGTTTTAGGACACTGGCTCTTACCATTCTGGTTTCGGGACCCAGAACGGCCTATTCTTGCCGATGTTAGAAATAAACAGTCGCAAAAGATCTAAATTCGACACTAGACTAGGAACATTTGTTATGTGTTGAATACGAAAGCGTAGTAGCTGTTCAGTCAGCGATAAAATTTTCGGTCCTGGTGCATTATTCAGCGTGTCCAATGTCGTTTAAATGTGATATGCTACTTGTTTATTCCAAAATTATGTAAGTCTAACAGTTTGTTAGATAAACAGTCTGTTGAGCTCAGGTTGGTAGTCTCTGCATCCATATCTGTTTTGAAAACCCATCAACGTTGTAGGGATCAATCAATTACTTCACTCGATGTAATAACTGGGACGGTTACCCATCCCCTAGCCCGTACTCAATTAGTAACTTCTGTGAGTTTCCGTCTAACTTGATAGTGTGTTGAATGATCGTATGCTTTAGCTCATCATATACCTAAGATAATGGAACATTATTTGTGGGATCTGAAATTTTCGTGGCTACCTTGGTAGATAATATTTCCAACACAACAGAGTGCCTTAAAGCCTATAGATGGATATTCTAACACTGAAGCTGTACCTCAGCGTGTATGAATCATGTTTCATGATTAAATCCACTAAACATACGCCCATTCATAGAATTTAGTGCATTTAGCTCTGGTGATATGTTAGACCAGACATACCCACAGGTGTGATTAATGTAATCAGGCTCCGACATATCCATAAGGAAGTATGCAAAAAACTATTACTACGAGTGAAATTAATGTAAAATTGTATATTCGTGAATTCAAAATTTCAATTTTAGAAAGCAATAGGGCCCATAAGATTTGTAGTTGCCAAAACACAAGGACCTAGTCAAAATATATTGGTACATAAAAACCAATACTTACATACAAGTGACAAAACAGGGAGAATTGAATTCTAAAGAAAGATGCATAATGAATGGCAAGACAGTAGTGAATATTACTTGAAAGTCCTTTTTGAAAAGAAACCGGAAATAGGATCGTTTCACTGGGTCGATGTTCATCTATGTGCCTGGTGCATTTAACCAGTAATGAAAACGTTGTCATGCATCTGCATTATTAATTAGTTATCGAGGTCTCTTGTAGCGAAATATCGCATCTTCCATAAAAATACTTATGATTTCGGTTTTTCCTTAGGTCATGTACTCTCTATGTCTCATTTGAAACATAATTATCTGTAATGTTAATTAAATCTACTAAAAGTCAACATTAAAAATATTGAGATCATACAACTATGTTGTATAAAGAATTTTAAACAATTAGAAACAATCCTTATTGTCTTTTAAGTTAATACAGAAAGTCGGAGATGAGGATTTCAACTGCAAAGTTTGTTTAAGATGTATCATGGGATGTAATAGGATGGAGTTATTTTTGGTAAAAAATAGGGTATTAAATAATTAAAATGAGTACGTTCTGTCAATAAAAATTGAAGCAAAATAAATAGTGTCAATAATGAAGTTGATCATTCTTGTATGTCAACTACCATCCGTTATTATTCTTAATTGTTTTCAGGGCTCTAAAGTTTTCATATAGTACTACGGACCTTATTATGGTTAGTATTACCGTAATATGCACATTTTCGTCTTTCAAGGTTATTCATTATTGGGTTGTCTATTTTATGTAGGGTTAACAATGAAGGTTGGATGTATTCAGACATACGGTAATCAATTTAAAATATTTTTATAAAATAACATTCAAGATGTTTCTATGCTTACCTATGATCATATCGAAGCTTCCAATGTAATACAGTTAGCTAAGGAACTTACAAATACAAAACTACCAACAGATATTGAAGTAAGTAATAAATATAGTGTTAGATATCTTCATCAATGTTACTTCGTTTTTTTTGTCTTCAGGTGGAATGGCTGTTAAAAGCAATTTGCTTAATCGATTTAACCACATTAGCTGGGGATGATACACCTGTCAATGTACAAAGACTTTGTGTAAAATCAGTTCATCCGCTAAGTGAATGCGTTTTGAATAAAATTGAAAATGCGTTCAATATGAACCTACAAGATTTAAGTAACAATCTGTTTTATATATTTTAACATGTCTAATTATCTGTCGAATAGGAACAGCTGCTGTATGCGTTTATCCATATCAAGTTAAAACATGTGCAGAAACTTTTAAGAAATTAAAATTACCAAATTTTAATATTGCTTCTGGTTAATTATCTTTTTAAATCTAATCTTTAACTATGATAAATACAGTTGCTACTGGTTTTCCTACTGGACAGTATCCTTTAGAAACTCGGCTATTGGAAATTAAATCAGCTATAAATGATGGAGCGAATGAAATTGATGTGGTAATAAATAGAACATTAGCTTTACAAGGTGATTGGGAAGGTAATTAACAATGTACGAAGTCTCTTTACTGTCCAATTCTTTTATTAAATTCAATGTCTATATAATTCATTATGTTTTCTTCACTGCACTCACATATAAGTCTACTATATATAACATAGAATTTGGTGATTTTTTTGCGGAAGTAAAAGGTGGGGATGAGTATTTAATTCTACGACCGATTTTTGATGTTTTAATACAGGAGTTTAAAAAAGTTGACGAACGTTGTGTATATCAGTTCACGAATTTCGAAGAAATTTATGATGGAGAATTTTATTGGTCACTGATTACTATGGTAATGTAACTTGACTTCGCTTTACTATATTGTCAATTAAACCGTCAACTCAAAGTCGCAAAGAAAGGCACACTTACGATAGACTACTTTTTGATCTATATCAAAAGACAGTATTTCAATTCTTAGAAATTCTGTGACTTGAAGTGAAGATTTCACTGTTATTTTCTGTCGCAAGCGCTGCCTCACTTCTGTCTTTTGTATGAAAAATAAATCTTTCAACTAAGTTAAAAGAAGTGAAACGGGTCGTCTATGTCAAACCGAACGTTATTTAATCAACTTCACATGTATTCTGTCAAACTAGGATGAGATATCTGTCGAGTAATCTCTGATTCCGCGTAAAGGAGGAGGGTTGGGCATGGTGTTAGCGTCCCCATCCCGTAGAAAACTAACTCGCTAAAAAAACGCTTACCAGAAAAATTAATTCAAACCATTTTAACTCTGCCCTGAGAGTTAGAAGGTCTTCATTTAGAAGAATTATGACGCTTCATGGTGAAAGCCGAGTTCCTTCGGAAACCACGAGGCCGATGCCACTTCTAACAATCATAGCAAAAATTTTTATAGGTACATGGAACGTTCGAACAATGTGGGAAACTGGGAAGACCAGCCAAATAGCAACGGAAATGAGGAGATACAACTTAGCAGTATTGGGAATCAGCGAAACCCACTGGACCCAAGCTGGACAGAAAAGGCTAGCTACGGGAGAGATGCTGCTATACTCCGGTCACGAAAAGGAAAATGCTCCACACACTCAGGGAGTTGCTCTAATGCTGTCCAAAGTAGCACGAAATGCACTTGTAGGATGGGAATCTCACGGATCCAGAATCATCAAAGCATCATTCAAAACAAAGAAGGAGGGGATCTTAATGAATATTACCCAATGTTATGCACCCACCAATGATAGCAACGACGACATTAAAGATCAATTCTACGAGCGGCTGCAGTCAATCATAGAGAAGTGCCCAAGAAAGGACCTCACCATTCTAATGGGAGATCTAAATGCCAAAGTCGGAATAGACAACATCGGATATGAAGATATTATGGGACAACATGGACTGGGAGAGAGGAACGAAAATGGAGAAAGATTTGCAAATTTGTGTGCATTCAACAAATTAGTCATAGGAGGCACAATATTTCCACACAAGCGTATACACAAGGCTACATGGATCTCACCGGACCACACTACAGAGAACCAGATAGACCATATTTGCATCAACAAGAAATTCCGAAGGACAATGGAAGATGTGAGAACCAGGAGAGAAGCTGACGTAGCTTCAGATCACCATCTAGTTGTAGCCAATTTAAAACTGAAGCTAAAAAAGAACTGGACAAGTGGACAAACAGCACTACAAAGGTTCAATACAGCCTTCCTTCGAGATACTGACAAACTCAATGAATTCAAGATAGCTCTCAACAACAGGTTCCAAGCCTTACAAGATCTACTGAAAGAAGAATAAACTACTATGGAGGGCAACTGGAAAGGCATCAAAGAAACATTGACTTCAACGTGTCTAGAGGTTCTGGGCCTAAAGAAACACCAGCATAAAGAATGGATCTCTATAGGAACACTGGACAAGATCAAAGAAAGGAAGAACAAAAAGGCAGCAATTAACAACAGCCGAACACGAGCAGAAAAAATCCAAGCACAAGCTGAATACATAGAAGCAAACAAGCAAGTGAAGAGGAGCATTAGAGCCGACAGGAAGGAATACGTGGAAGAATTAGCAACGACGGCAGAAAAAGCTGCTAGAGAAGGAAATATGAAACAGCTTTACGATACAACGAAGAAACTAGCAGGGAAATACAGTAAACCAGAGAGGCCGGTCAAAGACAAAGAAGGCAAGCGAATCACTGAAATTCAACAACAGCGAAACAGATGGGTAGAATACTTCGATGAACTCCTGAATAGGCCGGCTCCAACGAATCCACCGGACATCGAAGCAGCACACACAGATCTTCCTATAGATGTCAATCCACCAACGACGGAAGAAATCAGAATGGCCATCAGACAAATCAAGGACGGGAAAGCAGCAGGACCCGACAACATACCAGCTGAAGCACTGAAATCAGACGTCGAAGTAACCACAAGCATGCTTTACCCTCTATTCAAAAAGATTTGGGAGGAGGAACAAGTGCCAATGGACTGGAAAGAAGGGCACCTCGTCAAGATTCCAAAGAAAGGAGATCTGAGCAAATGTGAAAACTACAGAGGCATAACACTACTGTCAATACCAGGGAAGGTCTTCAACAGAGTTTTGCTGAACCGGATGAAGGATGCAGTAGACTCCCAACTTCGAGATCAACAAGCTGGATTCCGTAAGGATCGGTCGTGCACAGACCAAATTGCAACACTACGGATCATCGTCGAACAATCAGTTGAGTGGAACTCGTCACTATACATCAACTTCATTGATTTTGAAAAGGCATTTGACAGTGTAGATAGGAGGACATTATGGAAACGTCTTCGACACTACGGAGTTCCTGAGAAGATTGTCAATATTATCCGGAACTCATACGACGGACTACAGTGCAAGGTCGTGCATGGAGGACAGCTGACAGATGAATTCCAAGTAAGGACCGGGGTCAGACAAGGCTGTTTACTCTCTCCCTTCCTCTTTCTTCTGGTGATCGACTGGATTATGAAAACCTCGACATCTGAGGGAAAACACGGCATACAATGGACAATTCAGAACCAATTCGACGATTTGGACTTCGCAGATGACTTAGCCCTCTAATCGCATAGACACGAACAAATGCAGATAAAGACAGCCAGTGTAGCAGCAGTCTCTGCATCAGTAGGCCTCAACATACACAAGGGGAAAACCAAGGTCCCCAAATGCAACACGGAGAACAGCAATCCAATCACCCTTGATGGCGAAACTCTGGAAGATGTAGAGTCCTTCACATACCTAGGAAGCATCATCGATGAACAAGAAGGTTCAGATGCAGACGTAGAGGCGAGAATCGGCAAAGCAAGGGTTGCATTCCTACAATTGAAGAACATATGGAACTCAAAACAACTTTCAACCAATATCAAAGTGAGAATCTTCAATACCAACGTCAAGGCAGTTCTACTGTATGGAGCTGAAACTTGGAGAACTACAACAACCACAATCAAGAAAGTACAAGTATTTATAAATAGCTGTCTACGCAAGATACTCAACATCCATTGGCCGGACACCATCAGCAATAGCCTTCTGTGGGAGAGAACAAACCAACTTCCAGCTGAAGAGGAAATTAGGAAAAGACGATGGAAATGGATAGGATGTACATTACGCAAATCGTCAAACTGCATCACGAGGCAAGCTCTAACTTGGAATCCTGAAGGGAAGCGGAAAAGAGGAAGGCCAAAGAACACATTACGTCGAATAATAGAAGCAGATGTGAAAAGGATGAATTACAACTGGAAGGAGCTGGAAAGGATTGCCCAGGACAGGGTTGGATGGAGAATGCTGGTGAGCGGCCTATGCTCCTTCACGAGGAGTAACAGGTGTAAGTACGTACTCTGATTCTCCAGCTGGAGATGATCTGTGCTTAACTTTATTTTTAGTCCATATAACTATAGAACTCGGTTTGTACTAATTTTTATTTCACTCTCTCTCCTTCATTTTCTTAGTTTTGACTAATTTAGGCATAGGTAATAATTTCTGCTATATTTGAGTTTAAAAAGTAATAGTAGGTTTACACCTTAAATATCTCCTAGTTCATATTTCATGGTTGTAGTTAAATGAATACTACTGATATGTACCAAGAATTAGTGGTAAATAAAATTTACGTTGGTCCACTCTGCTAGGCGTATAACTTGAAAGGCTATCATGGAGTATCTTCCAAATATTCTCACATCTTTTGTTTTTGAATGAACTGTTATGTCTCTGATATATTGTTGCACAAACAGTAAAGGATTTCATAATAATGATCATGATGATATTTTTAAAACTATGGTTATTTAAAGTGTCTTTTACACTAATCAATTCCTCGAACAACTTGTTTATTAGGTGTAATTTCATTGGAAACTTAGCTGAGTAGGAATGTCTATCATCCATCTTCGTTTGTGAATGTTTAATTATGATATCAGCTTGGAATTTAGTCTTTCCTTCAACAATCCGTCTTATCGTCATTACCAGATTATCATGCTAGACGTGTGTTAACTGGTCATACACATTTGACACATTGTTTGGCCTAAACAAAGCTTTATTAGATTTATGGAGCTTGACAAGTTGAGTGAAGTTTTAATTGACAGACCAATACATAATACAGTGGAGTAACCGAAGTTAAAAAACAAAACTTTATTCCTTATTTGTTCTTATGATTTTCTTATTTCACTGATTATTAAAAGTTCGTAAAATCTTTCTCATATTCTAGGAGTTTATAATGAAGTATGTGCGATGCGTAAAGCTTGTGGTGATCAAGCACACTTAAAGACTATTCTTGCTACTGGTGAATTAAGCAGTTATGATAATGTTTATAAGGCTTCAATGGTTTGTATGTTAGCTGGAGCAGATTTTATTAAAACATCTACTGGAAAAGAAACAGTCAATGCAACACTCCCAATTTCATTGGTTATGGCTAGAGCTATTCAAGATTTCAATGAAGTATATGGCATCAAGGTAAAGTTAGAAATTGTTCTGTTGGCATAGCAAAGATGTTTATGGATTTCGCTTCGTTAAATTCAGTTTGTAGTCAATGGATGATTTTTTTTTCGTCTAGACTAAATACTTAGTACCGAACTTCTTAGGATTACATTTACTGCTGTTGTAGAATCTGTTAATAGGTTACAGAGTAGTTATCTTCGCCAATAATCATCTTCATAGTAAATAAAGTATATAGTAGTGTTTATATGTATTTTAGCTTTATTAGTAGTAATTTTTTTCCGATAGCAGTCTAGCTATGTATACTTTGACCGACAGTTTGTAGGTTAAAGGACAGCAGTTTCAACTATTGAGTTACGAGTTCCATTTACACCTTAATTTAGGTAATTAAAGAATATCCACTAACTATTAACTCATTTATCACGTACAGATTCGCGTTCTCGTGAAGGTTAATAATACGTGGTTTCCGAAACTGAGGTATTTGGGTAGGGTTTGAACTTGCGACTTTGCGGGTGAACGTTGAACTCTTTAACTATTGAGGTGCCAGTTAAGTTCGGATAATTAAATAATGATGCGTACTACTACCTCACACCAAGCATAGCTTAAAGTCAATTTTTTAAAATTTGTACTTCGTAAATCAGTTGAATTAAAGTCTAAAATATGCTTCATTGTGTTAAATACAGAAGTTATAGAGGAAATAACGTATGTTTTGTTTTTATTCTTCGTGATTAGTTAACCATAACGGTAATATCTGAAAGAGGTTAAGTTGGAAAACTGATATTTTTTATATGTAAGAACAAGAATCAGAATTGAACTGTTCTGTAATCCGCATGATTCATTCATATCATTATCAACAATTCCAATTAGACTACACACTCTAAAGTCCAACTATTTCGTTTTCTTATAAGAGAAAAAAAACACAAACTTCGTATGATTGTGTTATATTCTCTTTTATACTGTTATGAACCAGCTATTCCTATTGCTTAGTATACTCGGACACCGATTCACTCGACAAGTCCCCAAATCAGAACACGGTTGAACAGGAAAGAGATTATATTCCAAATAACAAGGTTAGATGGAAGTAAGAAGCAAGTAATTAGTGCAATAGGGAAAACGTTAGTATATTTATAGTCTTTACATGAGAAGATTCTAGAGTATTCTCCAAATATCGACTAGTGCTGATTGGATAAGAATTAGCCAATCAGCGTGCACCAAAGTAATCGTGCATTGAACATGCTTTAATCCAGTCTATGTCCCGCTGACAGATTGTGTTACCTAGACTTGTTAGTTTACATCAAATTGCGAATCTTATCGAGATTTACTAGTAAACTGTCGGCTGGGTTATTTTTTATACATGCCATTTACCTCAAAATACTAAGCTGACTGTAGGCAGTAGGATTAGATTGTAAATAGAGTATAAAATGTGATCATGATTCATAAAGTCACTGTTTTATGATATGAGTTTAGCAAAGTTGTGCAGATTTCTTGAATAAGATCTTTGTAATAACAAGACTGAGTGGATTTTTACCCTAAATTTCGTAACTTAGAATAATTCACAAAGTGGAACATACGTCCAATCTTTGTTTTGATAAAAATATTATTATTTTTTAAAATCTTGGTATCGTTTAGTTTGAAATTTGTAAAGTCTAGCAGCTTAGACTTACGCTTGTTCATATAAGGTGATTCTATGTGTTGACTTTTCTGTCTGAATAGTGTGTTTACTGAATGACTGCTTTACACTACATATTTTCATACGTTAAATATAATTACGTTTAGAAAATTGGTTTATTACAGTGTTATATTTTGCATGGAGGATTTTTTATTGATGCCTCGTGTATCAATAGTCCGGTCTATTTATTTCTCATAGATCCCGTTCGTATGAAAAGAATTCCTTGATTGTTTTCTATCGAACCTTTACAAAATAACTCACTAATATTAATAATAATAATATTGATGGAGATCATGAATCGACCAATGTTAGACCACCATTGAACACCTGAAAGTACCGGACGGCCGTTTCATCCTAGTATAGGACTCCTCAGAAGTGCACACCCACAATCCTGCATGTGGGGTTTGAACTCAGGACCTTCGGTCTCGCGCGCGAACGATTAACCCCTAAACCACTGAGCCGAGTGTGAAGCAGTTACCCACCGAAAACAATGGAAGATGGTCTCTTAATTTCCTGAATCGGCTGAAGTTAGTTATTAACCCCGTTGGATGCCAGTCCAACGGTCTAGAGGTTGATTGTTCGCTCACGAGACCGAAGGTTCTGGGTTCTAGTTGAGCATGCGTGATCATGGATGCGCACTACTGTTGAGTCTAATACTAGGACGAAACGGTCATTAAATGCTCCCAGGTTTTCAATAGTCGTCTAACATTGATTGATTCATGATCTCAACCGCGATTCAACAATCTACACAAGCTTATACTACTACTAATAATATTAATGGCAATTGATTGTTAAAAATAATATAATGCTATATTTGTATGAGATTTTCATGAACTTTAAATGATACATTTGAGAGTGATCAGTTCAACTTTGTTTTATTGATCTTTTTTTCGGTTCATATTTACATATTTACTTATTTATTTATTTTTATTTCAACACATGAATATTGGTACAAGAGTGCACCAAATATATATGCGCCACACCATATTTGTGTGTGTGTGTGGGCTGTGATACTGCCCAGGTGCCCAGACCGAAGCAGGTGGTTTTCTTAGGGGGCTACACCCCGAGCCTTTGACCTAAAGGTTTGACCCACAAGCTAGTGAAGCATCGTGAGGAGATGCAGTCCTATGGTAGCCGGTGACCAACAATAGGTTCATACACCATTTGTTCCCCCAGGATACTGGAGCCCATGTGCACCAATGGTTTGGAATGAGGGTTTTCAAACTCCCCTAGGTGGACTCACTGGCCCGGTTAAAGCGCTTTTCGTCCTCTCAATTTCGTAAACAACAGTAATGCCACGAGAAGTCACTGAGTAGGATTTCCCTCGCAGAGGCCGTATACGCGTAGTCGTGTGAGAGCATTTCGAGAGGGAGGGCGGGCGGGCTCTCCCTACTTTCGGCCGTACCAGGGCATTTGGAAGCGTCATTTTGTTAAATTCATTTTGATATTTGATGGATGATTTAGTTTTTGATAAGTCGTATTATCGTTGTGTATAGATGATGGTTTTCACTTCCTACTTACTGTTCAATCATTGGAAACTAAAAATTGTTAAGTAACTATTTCATCATAGTATTAGAATTCTCATCAATGAGCGTTCTAAGCTTCACAGGGAGGAGGTTAAACTCTAGACTTTTGGGTTTCAGGGTAGCTACTTAAGCTTTAGGTCTCTGAGTGAACATTCAATAATTGGCATTTCTAACGTAAAGTTTGAAGGTCTTCAGTTCGAACCCCAGTGGAAGTCTTAAGTGCATGTTGCTGAGAAGCTCCATACGAAGACGAAACAGCTGTCTGGTGCTTTCTGGTTTTTCAATGGTTATCTAACTAGGGTCAGTCAGTGATGTAAACTATAGAATTTGAGTCTCCACAAGTTTTTCATACTAATAATACTCAATCATTTAATCAGTTGTTTTATCTCTTAGTATTTACGTTTAATTAAAATTTTGGGAAAGGTTCCGTAAGCGCGTTATTCATTGAATCTTCTCAATCCTTTACTCAATCATAACACATTTTAGCTTTTCATACAAACTATTTCATATATTAATGTTTTCGCTTAGAAATCGTCCATGATATTACTCACTCATTTCTGAAGCTGACCAAAATACTCACTTAATATTTTACCGCCTTGAAATCCATTCTATGAACAAATGACCGGTTCGACTCCAGTTATTTTAGCATTTTTATCAAGTCAGCTCAGTAGTTATTAAACATACATAAAATCGGTCAACTTACATTAAAAAATGTTATGTACATTCACTTTTATTACCCATTAACTATCACTTTAATTGAAAAGCTTCGTGGGAATTTATTATATTTGTAGGTTGTATTCGTCACAGATATCTCATTTAGTGTACCACTAAACGGCAGGGCTCACAGGACGACTGGTTTATCTCACTAGTGAGCATACTCGACCCACTTAGGGATCACCGAATTATATGCTGAATTAAAACTGTACTATGGGACTTGATATAACTATTCTAATGGTTAACCATTCACAGAGACCTGAAGCTCTTGGATTCGGTCGGTATAAGTGTAGTGAGTGCCCACTTTTGAGGATTCTTACTAGAACGAAACCGTTGTTCAGTGTTTTCTTGTTTTTCAATGTAACCTCAATTGTCATCAATTTGTAATCGATACAATTTATCAGTTTAAATGTTTGGAATCAACTATCTAAACATTTACTTTTAATACTTATTCCTTAACAAACTATTTAGGTTGGTTTCAAACCTGCCGGTGGTCTTCGTACAGCTAAAAATGCCCTCGATTATCTCCAATTAATCGATAATGTTCTTGGCTCTGATTGGATAAATCCAGATTATTTACGATTTGGAGCTAGTTCATTATTGGCCAATATTGAAACTCGACTATACAGTCTATGCCATAATGGTTTAATACCATTACCTGGTGAATTAGACTTTTTCTAATTTTTGATTACCTTCTTTTTTCTCTCTTGTTTTCTTTCAATTTACTCGATTTGATTATTTTTGATGATCATGTTTGCCTTAATTTTGTTGTTGTTGTTGAAAAAAGGTCGTTTCTATCAATTTTTTTAAAAAAAATTTTGATAAACCAAACGCTATTTATATTTTGTACACATTTCGTTTTGACTATAAAAAGAATACAAAGAGGTGTGGTGATAGAAGTAGAGAGGAAAGCAAAACGAAAAAAAAATACAACAACAACAACTGTATGTTTAGTCAATAGGTTTTTTTTGTTTAACGAAAAAAAAGAAATAAATGACAAGGGGTTTCTATTTACGCCTATTCTCATTTGTTCCTTGTCGATTTTCACTGTGAATCCCTCTGACACTTACTTTTTAGGTTTGTGTGTATCACACATCGATATATATATATATATATATATATATATATATATATATATATATATATATATATATATATATATACTTGCAGAGAAAGGTCACAGGACGAAACAAAAGTGAAAAAACTTAGGAAAGTTAACAAAACCATGAAGTACAGTAATGAATGAATAGAGAAAAACAAAACAAAAAAAGAAGTAAATCCATAATAAACAAAAAATCAATACATTTTATCACATTGTATACCTTTTATTTTCTACATATTTCTTCAACATCCTCTTTATATTAATAAATATTATTGTGAACATTCAATAATAATGATAATAATCCAAGATAATTGTATATTATATTCGATTAATCGATATAGAGACATGTGGTGGATGTGTGTATATGTATGTAAAAGATTAAGGTAATAATGCGAAATGTATTAAAGTATGATTGATTGCCGGCTTTAAGTAATATTCATCATAATACGTACACGAGAATATGTACCTGGTCATGTTTTGTTTTCTTCTTCTTCTTCTTCTTTAAATAACTATTATAATCCCTATGATATACACTTATTGAGAATGATGTTTGAATGTGTTTATAAAGTTAGATGGAAATCATGAATACAGGAACAACAATAAAATCAAAGAGATTAGATTACACACATACAACAAATATAAATGAAGTTGATCAGAAAATGATCATCAATCTGTTCTCCTATCGTCTTTTAATTATTAACTAGGATTATTGAAATACTTGCAAAAAAAATATAAAGAAAGATAATACACATAAAACATCGTTATTATGGTGATGGGTAGTGGGGATCACTATCAAAAACACGAACGTCAGTAATTGCATTCTTTTTCTATCTCTATCTCTCTCTCTCTCTACAATTCGTGTACATGAAACAATGTAAACCAGTAATGAAAAATGATAGGTTTCTCTGAACACATTTTTCCTTCCTTTAAATTTATGTCTGTCACTTGTAAACATTATGATGTATATATCTTTCAACTTAAGGGATAGACAAAAACTGTAATAGGGATCAGGAAATGCGAAAAGAAATTGAGCAATGTTATGTACATATATATATATATATATAGTATGAAACTAAACGCATAGAAGTACAATAAATACATCATGAAATGTGAGAAGAATTCTCAACTTTTACTCCTCATGGAAGTGTGTATAATGGAGAGAAAGCGAGAGAATGAGGTGAATATAATCGTCGGCAGTGTTCTATGAAGACATAAAATCCCTTTGCTACTCGCACAGACAAAAAGGGAGAGAGTGAATGACAAAGTACAAGATGGTTAATATATGATATTTTTTGATTGTTTATTCATAAACATATTGAATACAATAGAGGATGAAACCAGATTATAAAATGGTAAATAATACTAGATTTTCAATAAAAGACCATAAAATTTCAATGTACATCAACATATATATATATATCCTCAATGTTAGTTGTTTCTATGTGTTTCATGATATCGCTGTTCATTTAACATATAAGAGAGAGAGAGGTAAGCTTATTCGCCACTAATTAAAAAATCAAAAATAATCATTATGAAAAAGAAAATGTATGGGAACAGGGAAACAATTCCAATTGAATGATCAATAAATGATATATTATTTGATATAAATCCAGTTCAGAAATGCAGAATTCAAATAAGTGTATATACACATGATGTGATTTAGTGGTTTTGATCAATTTATTCATTCATCATTTTCTTCTTCTTCATTATTATTATTCTCATTAATTTGATTATAATACCATTCACGATTGTCTTCTAATGTTTCTAAAATAGTTTGTGCATCTGGATAAACTAAATCCGACCATGTTTCCCATAATGGATGAACGATGTAATCAATAAAGCTGATCTATTAGGTACGTGGATGTATGTACAGGATATATAACAGATTTGTCAGTAAAACGGTAAATTTTATTCAGCAGTGGTGATAGGAGTGATAAACGAGTAACCGAAATAAAAACAAACAGAAATCGGAAAGAACAGCATTATAGAAGAAGCGGAATTTTTAAAAAAATAAAAGTTTGAAACGAGATTTAGTTCTGTATTATATTTTTGAATAGCGACTATTATTGGAATCAAGGATAAGCATTTTGTCTTATTCGGAAATCCGAGTGTAACTGCTAACTAGTTGGTTGGGCTAACCTTTTGTAATAGCCCAATCGAGCAATGTTTTCTGAAATACTCGTTTCATCAGTTCCTATACTAAAGAGGCCTGTTGGAAAACGGGAGATTTTGTCTGGTACTATGTTAAGCCCACATGGGTTGCCCTAGATTCCGGACAGACCGGTTTATTCGAGCCACATTTTGAACTTGTTGATTATTTGCTTATTAACCTTGACTGCCTTTATATCAGTGTATATGTGTGGATTGCTTATCCTACTCATCACATGACTATAAATACTGGGTCACGCTTGGTTAAATCGAGTTGGCTCACTTGTTTTCTTCGCTTCGCTTTCTGCACTTCGTTTCTCTGATGGTCTGTTCTGATCAACGAATTTATGAAATATACGTATTCAAACTTCATCCTCGTATTTGACTTATTTAATCCCGTTATTCACTAACATGAATCAAGTCGATAATTATATAACAGAGTAGCTGGGATGTATATTTCGGTAACATCATACAATTAAATTCAAGTTAGATCAAGGTCTACAAAAGTGGTAAGCCCAACTTCAAACTAAAGGCAACCTGAAAAAACTACACAGATGATAAATATTTCGCACTCTATGCATCCAATGAATGAACTTCTTTTGTTCATCTAAATGATGTATGGAAAAATGCGTGTTTTAGTCTAAAAGGTACAATAAATTTCTGTCTAGTTGTTGATACGCATTGTTGTCGATTAATAAAAAAAATTAGCAATCTTGTTGAGATAAGGGGGGACTGTTACTGATTGTTCTTAGAGATTTAACATGTGTTTAGATTGTCTGGTGAGGCCCAGGACAGAGTGGGATAGAGAATGCTGTTCGGCGGCCTATGCTCCATTGGGAGTAACAGGCGTAAGTAAGTAAATCTATCCAGCCCAAGCTAGATTTGACCTGGTATTTGATGGGATGGGAGAATTTAATGACTAGTCAAATTCGATCATAAGTTCTTGATTAGTGTTTCTGCATTACTGATAAAGTTTTTCGACGTTTGCATAGAAGCTCCTTGCATTTTGGTAAGTTTAATTTCGAGAACTGTGTAAGTCCCACGCAAAAGGTTAGCGAATTGAGTATTTTATTCAGTAGAGAAGAATGATAAAATATTGCTCTGTTTATAGTGTAAGTGTAATGATGATCTGATTTGATTTCTTAATAGTGATGGTGTGGAAAAATGGCAGAATTTATACTAATAAACCAAGGATGAATACTTTGTCTTATACTCCGTAAGAGAATATCAAGTGTACCATGATGTAGACAGTGTTGTATTAGTTGTCTTTGTGAAAGACTTATATTTTCTGAAGTTAGTCTATAGTGTTATATTCGTTATTCATTAAATTAAGAACAGCAATTTACTTCATTCATCATCATACTGAACAAGGCTATTGCAGTGGTACACAAGTGTAATAGCTAACAGGACTGAATTGAGGAGCTGAAATGCTATTCAATTTTTCTATTATGCCCTGGTACGGTCGATGGCGGGGAGAGTCCGCTCTTCCTCTCGAAATGCTTTCACATGGTCTCGCCTACACAGCCACTGCTAGGAAAGTTTTACTACCTCATTGTGAAGGGGTGTTGTTAACGAAATTGAAAAGGACGAAAAGAGAATATCTGGTGCCTTAACCGGGTTGACCGATACGGAGGACCCACCTAGGGGAGTTGGAAAACCCTGGTTCCAAATCAATGATACACATGGGCTTTAGGACCTTGACGAAGAAAATGGCTTATGGACCTATTGTTGGTTACCGGCTACTATGAAATTGCATCTTCTAACGTTGCTTCATTGCCTTGTGGACTAGATCTTTAGATCAAAGGTTTGAGGAATGACCCCCTAAGAAAACTGTGCTTCGGTTTGGGCGGTCGTACTGTATTTTAGACCCCACACGAATTGAATGAAGTGTGGTATATATATATATATATATATATATATATATATATATATATATATTTGATGCCTCCTTGTATCAATGTTTAAATGTCTAAATAAATAACATCACTGACCAATATACAATTGATATGATATTGTCACTTAAGATCTAGTATATTTGTGAACGTGTGTTTATAGGGTATTTAACTCATTAAATATTTTCGTGAATTTTTTTTTTCTAACACAAATTGAATTCAATTAATACCATCGTTAAATAAGTTAAATAGTTTAAAAGTTTACATTGACACAAATATTAATCAACGTATGATCACTAGTGACTGGCTTCACGAGGTATATCCTGGAGTTCTAGTGAGAAGCAGTGATCTGTGGATTTCAACCGGGTCTGTTGTGAGATAGTAACTCACTGAAGACAATGGTGAATGTGTAGCTCAATTTCTTGGATTAGTTGAAGTTAAACATTAACACCGTTGGATGCCGGCCGACTCATTGGTCTAGTGGTTAAGTGCTCGCGCGCGAAACCAGTAGGTCCTGCGTTCAAGTCTCGCGAGGCGAGGTCGTTGATGCGCACTTCCGAGGAGTCTCACAATCGGACGAAACGGCCATCCAATGTTCTAGGTTTTCCATGGTGGTCTAGCTTCAACTGACTCATAATCTTAACCACTGAAAATTTCTTTGTCTAACACAAATTGAATTTAATTAATACCATCGTTAAATAAGTTAAATAATTAAAAAGTTTAAATTAGCACAAATATTATATCCTATGTATGTATCATATAAATTACCTGTGATTTTTCAATAGTTGCTGTATTTCGATCACACATTGGACTTATTTCAATGCCTAATTCACGTTCTTTATCACCTTGTTGAAAAAGTTCTTCCATAACACGATTAGTCCATTGTCTATACAAATCTAATGGTTTAGCTGGATTACTTAAATCAGCACAATGTACCATATTTTGTAAAATCTAATGGAGAGATAAAGAGATGAATGAAGACTAAATAATAAATGTACTTTGATGAATTATTTTCTAGTTATGATCGATTTTATAAGTCAGTCATATAAGCAATAAAGAATCTGGAATATATATGTACATCGACTCAAGTCGTTTTATCATATCAGTATAGTGTAATAGAACTATCAAGAAAAGTTCGAAATAGACAATATGATTTCAAAAGGATGGATGAATTCGTGGAATAGAAAAGTAGAAGATAATTTTATAAATTAAAATCTGGGTCTTTGCAACCGTTTCGAAGGTATGTAACCCAAATTATTCAACCAATCGTTACAATAATCATAATGAGGATCGTGACCTAGCATTCTTCATTGATCAACACAGCTCAATGCAACAGTCAATAACTTCATAGGGTGATGTCACATCTTAGATTTTTCCTCTCTTATCTTTTATTTCAGCCTACTCCTATATCGATCAAGTAAATGTTTCTGGTCTATTGTAACTTATTAGAAGCTACGTATAGCAACGTTTCGAATCACTGATCGCTGTTATCTTGCTAACCCAAACCAAGCAAAGTTTTCATCTTTGTTTATGATTGATTCTTGTTTGCTTAAGTTTGTTAGTCAATTTATAATCATAGCCATTTATTTATTTCTGGGTTCATAATAAAATATAAAACTTATAGACTTGAGAAATAATCTACAACTCTGTGACTAGAAGAAATGTTTGAATAATTTGTTGCTTGATCAGTTGACATTACAGTTTAATAGTCTAAGCAATCAATGTCTCAATAGCAAATTTAGTCGTACAGTATCATCAACACTCAAACTATGCTTATTTTATATCTGAGAACATGTATCTATACTTGGATGCTGATTTATATTCATGTATTGTTGTAAACCATTTAACTTTTATCAATGAAATAAGTTTGTAGAAATTATTGAGGATCATAGTATATGATGTTACGAACTGATCTTAGCTAGATAACTATTGGAAGCCAGGAAGCATTGAATAACTATTTCATTCTGTTATAGGTTTAATTTCGGATAGAGTCGTAGATTTATACTGTTGAGGAGTCCTATACTACGATGAAACATGCATCAAGTGCAGGTTTTTTTGTTTTCAATGGTTGTCTAACTAAGATCACTTTGTCATGTAAACTTTAAAAATCACCTTTTAGTCTTATGAGATTTGGTTTTTTTTAAAAACGCTGTGTTAATAAATACAGACATAATTTCATTCTCTAAACACTCCTGATTTTAGAATCTAAAGTAATATATTTACAAGGTATTGAAAGATAACCTGTTAATTAGTTGTAAGTTGCCTTTCATGATCTTAATCAAACGATAAGTTCAAGGTAATGTGTAAAAATCCCTAATTAATTGATCATTATGTTTAGGAAAGTTATACCTTATCTTTTGTAACAAAGATTGACTATTTTAAGCGAAGATGGGTAGTGGATAGCAGTGGAATCCAGGATGCACGTTTCGTTTTATTTGGGACTCGTCAGTTGGAAATACCTGCATCCCAGAGTTGACGTTCACTCGGGGACTCGACCCCAGTAACGTTCGCTTCAAATGCCATCGCGTTATCTACCTAGCTACTCAGTCCTGATAGCCACCTGCTTGTGTGATGGAGTGAAGTTTAAATTCACTTGTTGTTTTACTTATATCTTTCCATTGTTATTTAGGACTGCAATTGATCAGTCTCATGTTGGCATATGTGCATCCTGTGCGGATTGCCTCGATATAGCCTTAAGTCACAAGCTTTTTAAACAAAGATGGATAGTGGCTAGCAGTGTAATCCAGGACGCGTGTTTCGTCTTATTTTGCACTCGTCAGCTGGATGTACCTGCATCCCAGAGTTGATGTTCCCGGAGTGAATTAAGGCTATATCGAAGCAATCCGCACAGGATGTACATATGCCAACATGAGACTGATCAATTGCAGTCCTAAATAACAATCGGAAGATACAAGTAAAACAACGCCAAGTGAATTTCGATATTGACTAGTTTAAAAATTGTTTAATTAAACTCGTATATTCATATAGTCAGTCAGATTTAAAATCGATGACAACCCGTCAATTATGATTAACCACTTGATTTAGATTTCATAACTTGTGTTGATGAAGTTGCGTGATAAGCATGATTTTAGGATAAATTTCGAGCTTTTCAATTTATAAACAATGGAGATAGTTCTGATAAAAAAGTTTCTTTCCTTTTCTCGTAACAATTATATTTTGTATAAGATTATAGTTGTAATACACGCTTACAATACATTTAGACAATTAACTATGCAAGTGAGAAAGCTAAGAAGTGACCAAGAAGCTGTGATTGGCAAAAGCGAACGAATATGTACAAAAAATAAATTGTATTCATACATTTATCTTTCTGACCTAGGCGAGGATATGCAAGCTGAAGTTTTAATTAGATTCATAATAGATTTCCTGTAATAATGTGCCTTGTTTACATTTTCTCACTTGACATTTGACCTTAAAACATCATGTGAGCCATCTGACTTGTATACAAGTTTAGACTCGCCCAGCTTATCAATTAGGCATTGAGTCCTGTTCAATGGTGAGTACGGCTATTGATCCTTGATCTAAGGCATATCGGTAGATTCACAAGTGGTTGGGGTTCGCACTATTATTATGACTAGGATGTGCACGAGGAATAATCATAATGGAGATTTGTTTACGTTTTGTTTTGCTTTAGATCTTGGGTCATGAGATTATTTTTTAAGTTTTATTCTGAAAATTTATTTTCTCGTCACGAATCATATTCTCTTTATCTATCACTGATACTGCAGCTACTTTCCTGACATTACTATTCATGTTGATAGTTTCATCTCACTGTACTTGATGTGATACAACTACTTGGACCAACGCACATCTATTGCCAGATTTTATATTGACTGATTGGTAGGTATATTTTCCATTCAAATGATCGAATATTTGATTTCTTTTCACTTATTGAGATTTCACATGGTTATCTCCGTTATTTGTGTTAATCTACCTGATATGGTTAAACTTGGTCTATTCATGGATAGAAGCCGTCTATCTATTTCGATTCAGTCCTTATCAGTGTACTCGATTGAGGTGAAAATTGTTTAGATCATTATCAATTAGATAGTACCATATAGCTTTGTTATCTAAATATAGTATTAGAAACTTAGTGATAATATAAATCTCAGTCTACTCACTTTAAAATTAATAATTTATATAAAATTGCTTTTTTTAAATTGTGGAAAGCAGTTGAAACGTAAACGAGTTAACAAGTACCAGTCACTTGAATTCTCCAATTAATAAAGACAATATAACAGTCGAAAAAAATATGCATAAGTACTACTTATTAATATTATTTAAACATGGGGAGATATATTGTTCTAGACGTTTTACATGGCTGAATGACATTTAAAAGAGACCTTAAACGTAAATTTTAAGGTATAGTTTAAACTTTTAAGTTAACAAGGTATATTTACAATCTCTAAGGAACTGATACTCCTCAATAACTTATCACTGAGTAATGAATGATGTCATATTTACTTAGCCTTTTAGTACTGATCAATATCTATCGATTAAGTTGAAGGAGGAATAACTCATTGCTCACGTTTCAAACTGTAGAGCTGATTGACTCAAGTTTGAATCTCATAGAAAGCACCAGTTCCTTCAGAAAGCTAAGTACACCATGCTGACGATTGTCAACTAGCATTAATTTTAAATCCAAAATTTCATGTTGATTACTTCAAACTTCTTAAAAACCTATACTCCCTGTTGGACTCAAATTTTAGTCACCCTTAGTGTTCAAATTAAAGACATAGTTTTAAGTTAACATCATTTATTAAATAAGAAAGATTGGATCAACAAAGAGTTCTCTTTTTGGTGAATTCATTTTCAAAGCTGTACAATCGTAAATATATTTGCTTATTTTTCAAGATGACAATACTCTTCTTCCTTTACAGTAATCTGCTTCCCCTTCCATCTTCTTGATAAACTTCCTATCACCAACTGGTTTATTTATGTTTGTATGATCCTCCTGATTACATTTAATCTCAATTTCAACATTTTATCTTATCATGCTGAGCCATCCTTTCTCAATTATAATCTCCCTATCTATCTTTATGATGAGTAGTTAAGCCCTTAACAATCAAACGATTATTATTTTCCCTGTTTAGGAATAAAGAAATTTTTTAAATACCTTTGTTTATTCTACCTCACTGTCACCATGTCTAACCGGAGTTTATTATCATTATTATGGTAATTATTATCATCCTGAAAAATAGTATATATATACTTGCGATTGTACAGTTTTAAAAATGAATTCGCCGAAAAAAGAACTCTTCACTGAATCAATTTTTCTTATTTAATGTCTTAATAGGTGTATTCCGTTTACTAAAAAACATCATTTATCATACAAGAAAAACGTTTTTTCATGTAACTTAGACCATCATTGATAACCTGGAAGCACTGGTTGGTCATTTCGTACCAGTATAGGACTCCTCAGCAGCGTGCATCCACGACTCTGCAAGCGGAAGCTGAACCCAGAACCTTAGGTCACGTGCACGAACACCCGACCTCTAGATACTAAGCCGGTATCCAACGGTGTGGAAGTCAACTATCTCTATAACCTCATACTGACAGAAAAACTATGGATTTGGTTTGTTTTATTACAGATATCTTTTAAAAAAACAGTGAGAAAAAACTCACACAATCAATATATAAGAAAACAATGCAATAATTTACCTGCATTCTGTCAATATAATTTTCTAATGTAAGTATACCGGATCCAGCAACTTTTTTCGTTTCAACCATTGTTTTCAAATCAGCTAACAAACTCATATGTTTGGACATATCTGTAGCTAGAACCTAGTTTTTTTTTAATAAAAAAAACATTAAATTTTTAGAGTAACATTAAGACACCATTTAGTACAATAATAATTCGAAATATTATCAACTTATCTAAGGTTTAGTCTCCACAAAATTCTTCCAACAGAACTATGGTCGTGTGAACATTAATAGTTTACTTCCAAGAATGAGGTCCTGAAATTCTAGTTGTCATTTGGAATGTGTTGGATAAAGGCTGTGAAGTTGGTTAATGTTGAAAATGTAAATACCAATAGGCTTTAACCCAATGATCGAATAGTTAAGCATACACCATTCTAAACATAAAAGTCCTGAGGTTCGATTCCCCGATAACTTTGTATAATCTTAAAATGGACATTGGATAAAGAAACTACTTTCTCAATTATTTGGTTAGTCAAGTAGAAAGAAATAGACAACATGAGAGATTTTGAAAACTTATTTCTTTTTGTGTCTTTCTGGTGCATAAATATAGATATCTCACTGGTTGAAATCATGAGTCAATTGAAGTCAGACCACCATGGAAAACCTGGAAGCACTGGACGGGCGTTTCGTCCTATTGTGGGACTCCTCATCAGTGCGCATCCACGATCCCGCATCCCATGGGATTCGAACCCAGGGCCTATCAGTCTCGCGCCAGGCGCTTAACCAACTAGACCACTGAGCTGGCATCCAACGGTGTTAATGTCTAACTTCAACCAATCCACGAAATTGCGCCACCATGAAAAGTCGTTACCAGTGGAGTTCAACCAGGTCTGTTGTGAGATAGGAACTCACTGAAGACAATGGTGTACTGCTGAGGAGTCCCATGCTAGGACGAAACGGCTGTCCAGTACTTCTAGGTTTTCCATGGTGGTCTAGCTTCAATTGACTCATGATTTCAACTAGTGAAATTTCTAAAAATTCTCCACAAAACCCATTCTGATAATAAATATGGATAGCCAATCTAATGGATGTTCCATATTTCTGTTAAACAAACAATTCATTACTATCAAACTGGATTTTTCAAAAAAACGCTTATGTAGTAACAATTGCCATCAATCATTTCAAATGAGTTGTGTTATCAAAATCAATGCGTTACATAACTCAGTTGTACAATAAGAAAAAGAAACGGACACGTCACGTGATAGTGGGGATTGGTTACTGAGCTAGTAGACAGATAGACATATAGTGTTATAATTTCCCTCTCACTATTGATTTCACTGTATTGTACTCTGGATTTCTCTCTCATGTTATCTGGGTCTCAATTGCTGATCGGGAGTTGTGTGTCATGTTATCTAATCTAGTGGTCTAATAATTATCTGATATATTATTGAGTATATTGAGACAGTGTTTTCAGTCTAATGTTTATAGATCAGATCATATTATAAGTTGTTAATTGAGTGAGCGTAGAACATATGTTATTCAAAGTTGCATCAAAAACTTGTTTCTTCTATCATTTTGTTCGAGAGTACTTATCATTTTTCATCACATTTTAAACAAGGTACTTGACCTTCAACCAAATGCGCATCCCGGATTCTATTGCTTCCTACTATCCAACTTAACTGGAAGCTTTTGACCTATTTGATAGTGCTTCACTAAAATTACCACTAGAAAAAGCCAAAACTTTGGGTCATTTCTCGAATCTTTTGATTTTTGGTAAATTAAAGCTCAGTATGTTAGGGAAGATTGAATACTTCAGTTGAGAATAATTTTGATTGGGAATTGGTAGACTGTGTATAAAATTAGAATCTATGACGATGGTTTCGTCCTATTTTAGACTAATAATGACATAAACATCATATAAATGAACAAGTTATCTGAACTCATTATCTTAGTAGACTAGGGCTTTGATATTTGATATTTCGAGTCCCAATTCGAATAATAAAACTAAGACATGGGTATATCTAACTGAAGAGTTCAAAGTAGGACGAAACACATATAGTGGGTTACACTGTTAAATTCAAAAAAGTGTACAATAAAGCAATTCTCACGGTGATTCACAACATTAACAATGGGATAATTCAAGCCGTTACTATAAATGACATAGCTTATCAAATAAAAATGAAGAGAATTCAGCCAAAAGAAAATTCTTTTTCTTTTCGACAAAATCATTTACTTAAGCTGTACATTTGTATATGGAAAATATATGTCTATAGAAGGATAGAAAATGTAGCATCATAAATCGATTCAAGATTCTTATTATCTAATTAGGTTACGCACTAGTCAAGGGGTAAGAAATGAATATAAGAATGAAAATAATTTACAAGTTAAATAATTGGCAGATATAAAGAAAAACGATAGCTTAAGTAAATGATTTAGTTGAATAGAACATTTCCTTCGCTGAATTCTCTATAATACTTGTTATGTCCTGACAAGAATAATGAATGGTAACTTTTGGGATCTATTGATGGACCAATACGATACGTATATTTTTTATTGTATAATTATTAAGTAACTAAACTATGCATATTCATATTCCTCTTATTATAAGTTTTATTTTGACCCATGAACTATTATTATACGTTTTACCATTCTTGAGTTATACCCAGTATATTAGTTACTATCTCCCTCATTCACAGCTACATCTGGCTAATTCTTGTACAAATATTGTTCCATATTTTATTGGTACGTTGTGATCTGTTTGATTGGTATATAAACTCAGTATGTTTGAAATAAATGATTCATATCTCAGAGGCTCGGATTGGTGTTCTGGACTTAACTGGCTGGGCTAGGCGGGAAGCAGGACCAATCAGGACTCTAGGCTGCTCGCACGTGTTTTACGCGTCCATGGTCCAATTGATAATTCACTGCTCTCTAATCCGCGGTCACATGTTATAACAACACTAACATTTCTTATTTTAACATCACAATAATAATAATAATAGTACATTTCTAACTTACCATATCAATAATCATACGTCTAGAACTAAGTCGTTGTTTACGTGGAAAGTTCTCAAAAACATCATGACCTGGTTGACCTAATAGGGAAAATGCTATAGCTAAATGATGATTTTCCAATACAGATGAATCATTGTATAGAATTGCTAATTGATCATCTATAGGAAAGCAAAAAAAATGGAACAACATGTTACTGATAGATAGTTTGTTTTATCGTTCTGGGTTTTTCTTTTAAATTTTGTTTTCACGATTTCATAATGTCATAAGAATTAAACGATACAAAAGTAAAACATAAACTTACCTATAGTTGATTGATCACTGAGTATGGGGACCAGTGTCATGGTCATTTTAGTCTGTTAGTGTAGACTGAATTCTGTCGTTCATCTGAAGCAGGCCGTTCTTATCAAACCTCCAAACAATCCATTTTTATTCAAACAAGTCTAATTAGTAAATATGTCAACTTAAATTGACCAAGTATTTTGTGACCTTGTGCGTAAATACGTTTTCTTATATTTTTCGTAGTTAGATCTATTGCACGTTTTTCTATACAGATGTATGAGGTGTTTTGTCATGTTTCTATAGTCTTACTTATATATTTTATACATTATCTATTTTTATATGTAAGCTGATTTACACACTTAACTAAGCATCTTTGGCTAGTAATAACTAGAGTTCACAACTCTACATTTATTCATTTATTCCCATTTCTGTCTGCTAAATAGTGTATAAAATTCAAACATCCTCAGCATTATTCAGATTCAACTTTTTATTTCTTTTTGATACTGACAAGTCATTTGACAGAATATATATGAATTTAATAAGGATCTATATTTCATTATTTGTTAACATCATCTAATAATCGTCAATGGAGTTAACCAAGAGCTACAAGATTGGTCGCAGTCCAAATAGTTCAATAGTAACGTAACAGATTCCAATGCTCGGCAATGTGGATGCGAACTTCACAGAAAGCATCCGTTCCTTTTTCATTCCAGGGATGTTTTGTTGACAAGTGGCAAATAGCATGGAATCAACATCAAACAGGACTTCTTATCGACTGCCCTCAACGTTACAACATACAAGCATACTATAATAATGATAATAATAATATCCATTGAGTATTTATCTATAAGTCTTTGTGTTTATTGTCCTATCGGTGATGTTCACAACTGAATTGTAATCGATCTTCGTAATACCATCAGTAAGTATTGTCTACATTCTTTTATAGAGCTTATCAATTTGCTGAGATCGTTAATTTATTATAAAAATGATAGTAATAATAATTTATTGCTGGTCAGCGGCCTATGCTCCATTGGGAGTAACAGGCGGTATTGAATACTGAATTGAATTGAATAATAATTTATGATTGGTCTATTAGCATAATTATGCATTTTTTTAATGTAAGACATAAACAACTGGAAACTGTATGATCACTCAGAGAGGGACTATATATTCACATTGTGTAAGGATGAATTAAATCATCCGATAGTAACATTTGGAATTCATAAAATAAGAGCTAAATGATGATAATATTTTAAGAAAAAAATAATGATAAGAACAGACCAGTGTAGTACAATAGGAAAATTTATAATTATATTTTATTTTGATAAAGAATTTTATTATTAGAAGGGGTTGGAATCGAGCGCGGCGGGATCACGGATGTGCATTGCCAAAGAGGAGTCCCACAATAGAACGAAATGGTCGTTCAGTGTTTTCAGGTTTTTCAATTATCTCATGATCTCAACTATTGAAAGAGTTTTATCACGCACTTTGGCTATGCTAAGCCACATAAAAAATGAGTTAAGGTCAACAATATAAATTATTTGTTAATTTTAAATAATTGAAGAGAAAAGAACTGTTTAATGGTCACTAATTTTTAGTGATTTTTTCTTTCTAGTTGAAGAGATTTTACAAAGATCGTTTTAACTTTTAGTTTGTATTCGTCCCAAGTTGATATCAGTTGGAAGTACTGTAGTGAACAAGAACACGGGTGGGGACAAGCGGACGTATTTGAGAACAAAGTTACAGAATATCTCACTGAAATCTGAGAACCATAAAGTGAATAGTTAATTTGCAAAATATCAGTCAATTGTCTCAAATTTCATTGTCCGTGCATTTTCATACCAATTACTTTCCGTTCCCATCATTTCCTTCTTGATCTTCTACTGAAATACATTCTATCCCTGACCATCGTTATATAATACTTACGTGGATATAAGTAGCTCCCACTACAGTACCACTGAAAACTAGGAATCAGTGAATAGCTATCTTATCGTAGTGTAGGATTTGTTAACAGTGACAACTTACAACCTCGTCCGGGATTAAATCCAGAACTTTCAAGTTTTGGGGCGAATGCCTAACCATGAAAATCACTCATTTGGAATCTTTCGGCTTAAACTTAAAGAAAACAATGTATTCTGATAACTTCTTGTATGATTGTATTACTTTTGTATCTATTATCCGTGGGACTTGTATCTACTTTCCAGACCTCACTCTTCAGTTTTCATATTATTCGTAAGAATTGTGGAATTTTCTGGGCTTAAATTATAAGCTGATCACTGCTGAAAATCTGGAAGCACTGAACAGCCATTTCGTCCCAGTATAGGACTTCTCATCATTGTTAATATTAGTATTGTTGCGGTCTGTGACTAGTTCACAAGCGAAGATAAACTATCTCAATCTGTAATTTGTACAGATATTATAACTACACTTTCAATATAATCCGTTAGTATTTTTGTCAAGCAAATTATTGTTTGGCCTATTATTGGTCGTGAATCATCTGTTTGGGCACAACATCATCCGGTCTATATCTAATATATCGACCGAGCAACCAGTCTAATCTAGCATTATTATTTCAAACCAGGATGAAACCCATTATTATATTTGTTTATTACAACAAGTATTATTTCGATTCTTTTGTTATTTGTCTTATGAATATCATGTCAACATGTTGATATGGTATGTGACAACTTGCTCTAATGTATATATGTACTAGACCCCTTACTGATCATGTCTAACTAACAGTTGTTTTTAAATGTAATAATTTATTCAACAAGATAATCCTATACAAATAAAACTGATAACAAGGCACTTATACGAAAAAGTTAATGCTGTAGTACAAATGTATTCATTTAGAAGGGAAAATAAATAACATAAATGTTTCAGTTACCACCAAACAATAATTAAAGTCAGAAGGGGTTTGTGGAGATTTTTAGAGATTTCACTGATTGAAATCATGGGTCAATTGAAGTCAGACCACCATGGAAAACCTGGAAGCACTGGACAGCCGTTTCGTCCTAGTACGGGACTCATCAGCAGTGCGCATCCACAATCCCGCACCCCACGAGATTCGAACCCAGGACCTATCAGTCTCGCCTCGGGTGCTTAACGAACTAGACCAGTGCTTCCAGGTTTTCCACGGTGGTCCAGCTTCAATTGACTGATGATTTCAATCAGTGAAATCATTAAAGTAACTAGACTTTCTAGTATTTGTACTGGTAAATGTAAAGTTTCCGATTCAATGGTAGCGCCTTTATGGTTAACAAAGGTGTATTCAGTCGATAAATTTCACAGATCGTTAAATTTCAATGAATAAGACTGAAATTTAATGATGATAATGATATCTGATTAACTGATATACCAGTATAAATTGATTTGTTAAGTGGTAAAAGTCATTGTGTAGGAAACCCTGATTGGTATTGGTTTTATGCTAGTTCAGACTCATCAGTAAGATGAACTTACAATCTCAAAAGGATTTGATGCTGTCAGTAGAATCCAAACTCTTGTCATTCAGTTTCACAGTTTAGGAGATCACTACTGAGGTATTGAGGAATTGACTGATGTTCTATAGTACGTAATCGACTTAGGATAAATTGGTTTGTTGAAATCAATCAAATGACACAATACGAATGTATTTCATTTGATTGTACTTTATCATTAAACAATTTGATGAATCTTTTTAGAAATCTTTAAAACGTTTCATCTAGATATACTTCTATCCTAATGTTAATATTTCCACTAAAACTTATACGTTGATATCTATTCCTTCAAACCTTTGAGGAGTAAACTAAACGAGAATATTGAAATTGAGATAGTTTATCTATCTGATAAATCCATAATAGAATGAAACTCACATACATAATTCCTTTCCTGACTGTTATCAACTAAAAACAACATAATAAGCTCATAAGTATAAACATAATCGAATCATCTGTTAAAAACGTTCATATAACAACAAGAATAGGTCATATTTATTGGCAAATATCAATATAAAAGGAGGGGGAAATATATAATCTTAGACTAATAATATAACTATTGTTTATACAAAAGTAAATGATGTTTATTTTTATAAAGGATAAGTTTATCAACTTTATTTCATTCAGGAGAACACTTGAGTAAGATATTTTCCCAACCCTATTTTTTTCAAATTCACATTCATTAAGAAAGTTGAATAATGACAATGTTGTAGTTCTTATCCCATATAAACAGACAACAATGAAATGTATCTTTGAAAAAAACAATGTTTATTATCTAATCATTTTAAAAGAGATATCAATTATTGATTAAGGAATTAATCATAAATGATTTATAGTTTCATTGTCAATAAATAATTCCCAGAGTTCTAATGAGCAGCCGTAACTATTTATGTTTAAACATGTCGGATAGGAGGCGGTTAGTCATTAATAATATTGATGAAGTGATTATACAGTTTCACGAAATGTACATATAATCTCAAGGATATGTGTTCACTGAAAGATTTGAAGGCATCAGAATTCTGTCTATAGTGCAGTGATGAAGGTACACTATTAAGAAATCTCATTCTAGAATGTTACAACTGTCCAGTGTTCCTGATTTATGGCAATTGTCTAACTAAAATCAATTATTGATTTAAACCATAGAATCCAACAAAATCATCAAGAAAAAACCCATTTATAATAACAAATTTTCGTGAAATGAAAACGTACTTGTATTAATTAAATATTGATTTGTAACCCCTGGATGACCGACATCATGGATAGCACATGCAAATAGTACTGTGAAAATTTCTAAATCTGTAAATACAGACTGATGAATGAAGATTGATAATATTTTCATAATTGATAAGAGACATGTATGATGTATGCATATATTAGATGAAAGTGAGAATTACATGAAAAGGAAAACAAAACAAAACGAAACACAAAGAATAAACATGTCTATTTCAATGAGAATTTAAAACATGGAAATAAAGTACTAGGATGAATATTTGTTTTAAAAATAACAGCATCACTTAGATTATGAATGGATATAAATGATCGAATTCTAATTGATAGAAAACAAACTTAACTTTTTAACAAGATCTTAGATTCTTTTTTCAAATATTTTGTTTAAATCATAGCTGATGGTATGTTATTGACACTGAACTGATCGGATCCTATTATTATAACTAATTTATTACTGATCTTAATCAATCAAATGTAGTTGAAAGGAGGACAGTCAACTCATTAGGAACTAATCAAATAGAGCAAGTATGGACGTCATTTACGTCACAGTCAGTCAGTCAGCTACAACGTAGAAACAGGCACATATATGCATCGGCTCAAGTTTCCACACCTTATTAGCACAACAAGATGAACACCGAATTCATAGAAGTCTTCACTTCAATGGTGGTAATATATAAAAGAAGGATTGTGTATGAGGATGTAGTACAGGAAGAAAGAATTAGTTCGTAGAAAGAAAGATATAAAGCAATTTTAATCTCTTACTTTAAGGGAAGACAGAAAGTGTATACACCGACACGATTGTGATCGATTCTGAGCCATGTCATCCACAGTCTCCAACCATTGGTTACGATAGTCACGCGGACCTCAACCAAGTAGTTTGCATCTCCCAACATGGCTCAGACTAGAAGTTAGTGACTTCAGACACTGATGTCACGTTTTGGTTTGGCCACCCGTAGCCTTCTTCCAACCATTTATATCACAGATTGAATTTAGTTAGAAAACCAAGAAGTACTGGACAGCTGATACATTTTCTTATGTGGCTTTTCAGCAACGCATATCTACAACTCTACTAGGGGTCTAACTGAACCCTCAGGTCACACTGTGAGAGCTTAAGATCTAAATGACTAAGCTGAAGTTCAAGCTTTAATCTATTCGCCATATTTAGAAGTGTCCATCTTTGTGTATAAACCATGTAATTCGTGCGATAATGTTGATAACTCACATTTTAAGTGATCAGTATAATATAACGTTATTTATTAAATATTACTTGATAAAAAATCGGATGATAGAAATGAAAATTTAGTAGATAAATTTTACTGTTTAAACACTGTCGGAGGGGGAGGAGGCGGAGTTCGATTAAAGTTATTCCGATGGTTGGAGACTCTGGGTGACATGGCTCAGAATCGATCACAATGGCATGGGTCTATACGCTCTCTGTCTTCCCTTAAACTGTGAGATTAAAATTGCTTTATGTCTTTTTTTCTACGAACTAATTCTTTCTTCCTGTACTACATCCTTATATGCAATCTCCCTATGTTACCACCATCGAATTAACTACTTCTATGAATTCGGTGTTCATCTTGTTGTGCTAATGAGGTATGGCAACTTGGACCGATGCATATATGTGCCTGGTTCTACGTTGTAGCAGACTGACTGACTATTCAGCTTTAAATTAATTTTTCATTCAGTTTTAATAATGGATGATCTAATTACTAAAATGAACTTAATTTATTTGAAAAGGAATTACAGCTAATTTTGCATGCTCATTTAATTGGCAACTGATATGTATGTTGTAGCTATTTTGTTGTTGAAGGACATCGGTTTGATAGACAATTCTATTCATTTAATGCCTAGTCAATTTTAGAAAGAAATCTAATCTTACATCCATTTGAATCATTTGAAAATTTGGGATCGAATTCAATATGTAGGTGAATAATTAAGCCTATCGTATTCCTTCTGATATAAAAGTGAATCATGTGATCACATTATTGATTAATTTCGATAGGTAATTCGTGTTCTAGTGAGAAGTAAAGATCAATGGGATTCAACTGTGTCGGATCCGTGTTAGTTACATATAAATAACATTGGAATATAGTTGGGTATTATTGACTGAAGTTATAAGTGTAAATCACTAGATGTCAACTTGGTAGCTTAAGGGTTACGTATATGCTATAAAATCTGAAGACATTAGATTACTGTGCCCAATGAGGTGATGGATACTGACTTCTAAGGAGCGGCATACTAAAATGAAATGTTTGTTCAGTGTTTTCTGATCATCAATAATCGTTTAACAAAGTTTAGTCCATTATGTAAACCCTAAATTTTCAGTAATCTACATTAACTGTTTATATAAACAGACGTAATATAGATCGTATTAATTGTCTGTAAAGAAAGTCACCGTACATGTACTTCAGTTTATTCAAGATTTTTCAAGTGCTGTTACCAAAGTAAACTTTACTGATGATAATATTTGAATTTTGAAATTCATTTATGCATACACAAACATAGATTAACACAGTGAAACAACACAACGTACTAGTAACACTTAAATCTATGTAGGCAGAGTATACCATAGATACAAATTTAATAAGGAAATTGTTGTTATGCTAAATGGAGAATGTCAGTGTAGTTTTCTTCCCCAATGAGGATAACATTTAGGTCAATTTACAATCAGTCAGCGTGTTGACATCTGTACAACTTATTAATTAACACCAGCAAAATGTAAATCAATCTCGTAAATGGTGATCACTCGAATAAACAAACAAACCCAATCAAGATGAGATAGTCAAGATTCATGAAGATAACATAAGCCAGGACGAAACCTGCGTCCTGGATTTCACTGCTAGTATGTGTTGAGATAACAATGAAAGCCTTACAATTCAAATAAGTTAATTAACCAATCAACTAATCATCTAAGAAGAGCTACATTATATATCACACAAACCGTAATAAATAAACTAAAATTAATAATGATAATATAACATTGTGGTTTACCTCTAATGATTGTGCATTTAATAATACATGTGTTGACTGTACAACATCAGCTGCATGAACACGATTATGATACGGATTGTCGTTATATTTCTCTTCAACAGCAGTCATGTATAGAAGTAGATTACGTTCAGGTATAGCAAATTTTTGCAAAAGATTTCTTTTCTGTAGAGAAAAATAATTAAAAAAAACAAATAAATATTTGATGATAAAATAATGAAGTAGATTTTGAAACTGACATAATCTTTTTTTATATAGAGACAAAGTATTAAGTAGAAAGGATTTTGTGGAGATTGGCTTCATTTGTAAGGTGTATTCGTCACAGATTGATCTTAGTTGGGTTACCATTGAAATGCAGGGGCCATTAGCCAGCTGTTTCGTTCTATTATAGAGCTTCCTAAGAGTGAGTCCATACAACCCTACTAGGGATCCAACCTAGAACTTTCAGGTTTTGAGACAAATCCTTCCAGGACTATAGAATAGATAGATTGTGCTAAGCAGTGGGATCTAGTACGAGAGTTCCATCTTATTTTGAACTCGTCAGCTGAGTGTATTTGTGTCCTAGTGTTGAACTCCACATTGGGACTTGAACCCAGTATCCTTCATTTCGGACGGAAAATGCATTATCGACTGCGTTAGTGAGTTCAGGAAGCTTGTACAGTGAGTAAGAATTTAATTTAATTTGTTATAGCTTGAATTGTCCTGTTATTTATATCCTTGACAGAATTATGATCAATCTTAGTTTACATTTGTGAATCCTGTTTGGATGGCTTAGATATAGCCAGTTTTCATGAGTCTGATAGAATAGATGAATTGTGGCTATCAGAGGGATCGATTAGAATCTATGAATCGGCATCCAGGGTAAAGTTTTTATTTTAAGCAGTTGGCAGTGTAGCGTTATGACCATCTCGTGCTATAGATAACAAATGTTTCTTTGCCGACAAATCTAAACTCCACCTGTCTTAACTTATCATTAGAAAATCAAGCACGTTTTGAAGCAAGTGACTAGTGAACTGACCATTACAAATTGGTTTAAGGGGTTTTCTGCAGATTGGTTCAAAGTTAGGTTCTTTGTCATGATTTTGTATAATTTGTTATATCACCCGTCAATGTGAGATCAACAAACCGTTCTATCTAAATTGATTTAGACAGTTATGTAATATCTCTAGGTCTCACACACAAATAACCTAGTTCAGAGCCGAATACATAAACGTTTACTATGTAAACGAGTTCTGTTATTATTATCATCACTATTATGGTGATTATAACTATCTAGATAAATAATAATCCAGTATCTTCACATAAATCACCTTAGAAAAAGTTTACGTTGATCCACCAATGCGAAGTAACTGTTATCATATTTGTCTAATCCCGGACACAAACGTATTTCAAGTTTATTATCTTGTGAACTGATTATAACTCCAGAATTTATATTGACAAGTGGAAAAATTCGCTTCTATTCCTATTGGTACTATAACTATAGATTGCATTTATGTCTTTCTAATGAGTACCTGGTAGCACAAAACCTAAGTCAAGTAGGGTTTCCTGTTGACCTGCTTCATCCATTTGGCAACAAAGCTCATTTCAAGCAATATTGAGCCACTTAGATTAGTGATTATGTCTAAACTTGATTAGTAGAATCGGATCAATATTAAGAACTAGGTGAACGTGACATTGGTCACTACTCAGTGGTAAATCAATAGAAATATCTTAGTCCTACAGGAATTTTATCACGGTCAAAATAAATTAATGGTAACGTCTCACACTGTGAAGCTAAGTGACGTGAATTTGAGTCCAACAGAGTATAGGATGGTAGGTATGCCTTAACGATAAATGCTGACTATGAAGTTTTTATTTATAACTGTTCTACTTATTAGTACTTGGTACTAATTCTTTTCATGTCACTGAATAAGTTGACTTTTGTCAAGCTAACTGTTCTTTTATCGGTTAACACATGTACTCGTAAATTAATCCACGGACTGATCTTAGTTAAACCATCGCTGAAAACTACGAGGAACTGAATATCTGTTTCTTTCTAGTATGGGACTCAGTACAGAGAATCAGGAGCCCGCCTGCGCGGACCGAACTCAGAATCTTCGGTCTCGGATGCGAACACACTTTATTTGAACAGTCATTTTGAACCTGCCATTCGTGTGCTTTAGAGCTTTGAAGGTTGACCGAATTCGGGTGCCTTATTCCGGTGTTTTGGGCAATGCTTTTCGACTCAGTCAGTTACAAACACTTACGAGCCTCAGAATCATAATCCTCACGACACTGCTTACAATAGAGAATGCACGGATCGATTTTCTAAAATGATTCACAGAGAAACATGAATATCTGAAATTGTTCTGTAAAACTGTTCGTTGTAATTTCGTTCAACAGAACCATCACAATCTTAAGTGGCTTAACGTTGGGGTAGATCGAGGAGGCAAAGTAAATATTATCAGAAACTGAATGTAACATTATGTTGAAAACACATGTATTTTAACATTAAGCTATCAAAAATAGAAGTCATTTCTAGGCATAAAAGCTAATGGATTTGGTCAGTTTCGAAGTAAGACTATTCAGTGGTGCATATCCTGGACCCTACTGTAGATTGAACCCAGGTCCTTCGATCTCACTTAACTTCTAGACAGGTATGTAACAGTGCGGGCTCAATAGTCTAAAGGTTAAGCATTCATTAAAAGATTCAAAAGTTCTGGGTTCATTCTCTGATCAGGTCGTGGAACTTTCGAACTATCACTACTCTAGTATGAAAATAATACAGTTGAAATATGAACAAATAAATAAGATGATGAAATTTTAAAAACCTACCTGTACAATATTATAAAATACACACGTTAGTGGATTAGTAGTAAGTTGGTCTACTTCAAATATATCAATACCCCATAGATCAAGGGAAGTTTTTAGAAGCTAAAGCAAAAAAAATAGAGGAACGAATTAAGAGCAAATTAGTTGTTGTTTGGAAAATTTATGAACAAAGGAATTAAATTTGTCGACAAAAGAGGGAGAGTGAGAGAGTAAAATCAAACACTATTTAGAAAAATGTATTCATTTTACAAGAGGTGAGAAATTATGAATGTCTAGTTAAGAATTTAATCATGTTGGTTATGACATTGATGTTGACTAAATGACTAACGATCTGAGGGTTAACAATATTGAAGTTACTAAACAGATAAAATACTCAAGTCTTAAGTGAAAAATTAACGGAATTTAAACGTAATTGAATTGTAACTCAATAGTCCAAAAATTAAACATTCACTTAACCGCATAAAGATCTTGCATTCCACCACTGGTGAAGTTGTGACTACGTACTGCTGAGAAGTTTCAAACTAGTTGCTTACTTGCTTACGCCTGTTACCCCTCGTGGAGGAGTATAGGCCGCCCATCAATACTCTACATTCAACTCTCTTTTGGGCAGTCCTTTCCATTTGCTGTTCATCTTTCCCATGTCTGCTTCCAATTCTCGACGCAGTGTGTTCTTTGGCCTTCCTCTTTCCCGTTTCCATTTAGGATTCCAAGTTAGGGCTTGCCTTGTAATATAGTTTGGTGGTTTCCGTAATCTATGATTGTTCAATGATGATCCGTAGTGTGGCGATTCAGTCTATGCACGATCGATCGTCATGGAATCTAGTCTGTTGATCTCGAAGTTGAGCGTCTACTGAGTCTTTCGTCTGGTTCAGCAACACTCTGTTGAAAACATTTCCTGATACTGACAGTAGTGTGATGCCTCTGTTGTTCTCACATTTGCTCAGATCTCCTTTCTTTGGTATCTTGATAAGGTACCCTCCTTTCCAGTCCGTCGACACTTGTTCTTCCTCCCAAATATTCCTGACCAGAACGTGAAGCATACTCGTAGTTACTTCATTGTCTGACCTCAGAGCTTCAGCTGGTATTTAGGAACTGGTATCAGGTCTATTCAAGAGTTCCTCAAAGCGTTCTACACATATTTTCCTCTGTTCTTAAATCTCGGTGATTGTCTTGCCTTCTTTGTCCTTTTCCGGTCTCTCTGGTTTAGTATATTTCTGTACTAGTTTCTTCGTAACATCATACTTCTTTCTCCTACGGCTTTTTCCGCTGTCGTTGCTAGGTCCTCCATGTATTTCTGATTGTTAGCTCTAATGCTCTTCTACATTTGCTTGCTTGCTTCTGTATATTCAACTTGGTCTTGACTTTCTCTTTTCTTGTTCGGCTGTTGTTAATCGCTGTCTTCTTGTTCTTTCTTTCTTGAATCTTGTGTAGGGTTTCCATTGAGATCCATTCCTTCTGGCACGTTGAAGTTAATACTTCTTTGGTCCCTTTCCAGTTATCCTCCATTGTAGTTTCTTCTTCGTTCAGTAGATCCTGTAAGCCTTGCAACTCGTTGTTAAGAATTATCTGGAATTCGTTGAGTTTGTTATTATCTCGAAGGATGGCTGTATTTAACCTTTGTGATGGTGTTTCTCCAGTTTTCCAGTGCTTCTTTAGCTTCAGTTTTAAATTGGCCACAACTAGGTGGTGATCTGGAGCTATGTCAGCTCCTCTCCTGGTTCTCACATCTTCCATTGTTCTTCAGAATTTTTTATTGGTTCTCTGTGGTGTGATCCGGTGAGATCCATGCAGCTTTGTGAATGGGTTTGTGTGAGAATATTGTACCACCTACGACCAATTTGTTGAATGTTCATCGGTTTGCAAATCTCTCCCCATTTTCGTTTTTCTCTCCCAGTCCGTGTCATCTCATGATATCTTCATATTCGATGTTGTCCGTCCCTATTTTGGAGTTTAGGTCTCTCATCAGGATGGTGATATCTTTTCTTGGGCGCTTTGCTATGATCGATTGCAGCCTCTCATAATACTCATCTTTATTGTCATTGTTGGCATCACTGGTAGGTGCATAACATTGGATAATATTCATCGTGATTCCTTCCTTCTTTGTTTTGAAGGATGCTTTGAAGATCCTGGATCCGTGTGATTCCCATCCTACAAGTGCCTTACGTGCTTCTTTGGACAGCATCAGAGTAACTCCTTGAGTGTATGGAGCATCTTCCTCTTCATGACCGGAGTACAGCAGCATCTTTCTCGTATCTAGACTTTGTTGTCCAGCTTGAGTCCAATGGTTTTCACTTATTTCGTATACTGACGAGTTATATCTCCACATTTCTATAGCTATTTGGTTGATCCTCCCGGTCTCCCACATTTTCTGGACGTTTCATATAGATATAAGAGTTGTTGCTCTGGTTGTTAGAAGGGGCATCGGCCTCGTGACTTCCGAAGAATTTCAGCTTTCATCATGAGGTGTCGTGATTCTTCTTTCAGTCAGTCAGTCAGTCAGTAACAACGTAGAACTTCGTACGTACGTACATCAGTTCGAGTTGCCACACCACCTTAGCACAGAGATGCATTCTTCCTTCAACTCGGAGGGCAGAGTTTAAATGGTTTATTTGTTTAATCTGGTTGGCGTTTTTTAGCTAGGTTGATTTTTATGGAATAGCGTTGTCGACCCAATGCCCAACCCTCCTTCTTCTTCCGGGCTTGGGACCGACAATAACTCTAGAAGAGCTACATGCCGAGTTTTTCAGATTAATACGAAATAGATATTCAAGTTTTGATGATCATTTAACTAAGTTCAGTCCATTCTATAAAATTTTGAATATTTAAGGTTAAATCATCTGAAAAGCTCATTGAACTTTACTACTTACACGTACACGAATGCTTAAAACGAACATGATCATTAGATAATATGATTTATTTGGCGAATAAAAGTTCTTGTGTTTGAACTCAAATAATTTTATTGTGTAAGGGCAAGTGAAATCATGCGGTTGCCCATAGTGAAATAAATGAAAAAAGAATTTGAACTTATAACTTACTGATGAAAAGTTGTGTTTCAATTACAAAACTACCACTATCCAAATAATGTAAGCTATTTCTATGAAGGGAGTTATGAGTGTCGCTTATAAACTGTTTATGTTAAATTATTATGATCATTAGTGTATAGGATGCTTAAAAATACAATAAAAATGATTTGATGTTGATTAAACTAGAGAATGTCATATACATTGTGGATTCGATAGATTCATATTCTCTCAAAGTATGTCGCCAATACCTAATCTTTTCTGTGACTGATAATGTTATTACTTCTACAACTCTCGTACGACACTGTGCTGATATGATATAGCAAATTGAACCGGTGATCATATTGTCAAGTTCTACTTTGAGAATAAATAACTACTTTATTAATCATAGTGAATTGGTCTTATTTTCTTGAGATATCAATGACATCTTTGGTCGGTAACTGCTTTGTCGGAGACAAAACGATGACAGATAAACGTGAATAGTGCTTGAATTCATGCTTAGGTAATTTGTACATGGATGTAGCTAAATTTCTGTCGTATTTTTAATGTGAATCGAGTACCTTAAAAGTAATGTTGTGTTTTTGCTAAATAGTGTAAGTTGTTACCTTTTAATGTAAATTTACACGGTTAAACAAAATTTAAAAATAATGGTGAATTGTTTATTACGATTATTGGTAAATTTGATTTCTAACTTTTTAAGACTGCTGTTTATCTGACAATTATGCAGTGTAGTCGGTAGGAAATCTAACTCAACCTAAGCGTCGTGCTGGTAAGCAGTTGTCAGAGATCCGTACATGCGATCCAGAGGGAACCGATACTTTCTGTGGGGTTGGGTCAAAGATACACTTTACTGACGAGCATCAAATAGCACAAAACCTAGATCCAGAGTTTTCTGTAGATTATCTCAAACAGTTAAGATCATAATAAAATGCACTGAATGTCGATTCGTTTAAAATAGTTCGGTTACTTTGGAACTTGATCAAAAGGATATAATCAATACTGAAGGTTTAGACAAACGTGATATTGGTGATTAATCAATTGTAATTATGCTTTGTTAACATAGTGATTTTCCGGTTTAATGGATAGAAAAAGTGATAATAAAGGATAAAGATAATGATGATAAATTTAACTAATAATTAAATATTATGGACTTGGTCGGTGAGGGATTGAATCTCACTTAGAGCATCAGTTCCTTCAAGATTAAAGATACGACCTCTGACAAGTGCCAGGTAGTATAGGACGTAGGTACAACATTTATTATCAAATATGTCTAACTATATTAGAGTTAAACATTGTAATTTGAGCCACGACATAACATTACCTATACAACGCGTGACACTTGACAAGATCGTAAGATTTCTTTATTGAGGTGTGCTATATTACAACAAAACATCTATCTAGAACTCTTCAATTTTTCTAATAATTGCTGAGCTGAAACTCTAATCCGTGATGAAAACTGCACTATATATATAGTCTAAAATACAAAGGAACCAAAGAATAAATATGAAAACTTACATCTTCAAGTTTCTTTGGATTTGTTGAATTTATTACATATGGTACAATTTGTGTTTGTGAACAATGGATTTTATCATATTCACTATGATGTTGATGAGATTGAGGAGGAGGAGGAGGAGGAGGTGATGTACCAGAAGAATGGATTGACATTGTGATATGAGAATTTCCACTAGATTTAATCATTATATTATTATTATTATTATTATTATTATCATTGTCATTACTATTAGTATTTTCATTTACATTCACATTACTATTCATTTTCAATGATAATGTTGATAGTGAGGAAGATAATTTAGACAATGATTTACTCATTATAGTAGATCCCATTGTTGCGGTTGTACTTTTAATTGTGCTAGGAATATTACTACTGTTATTATCACTAGTCACTGCTATCATTGTATCACCATCAGTAATGTCAGTCAGTATTGTTGTTGTTGTTGCTGCTGTTGTTTGAATTGTTTCACCGGGTTCAACAGTTTTAAATAAATACATACTAGTTGATTCTGAGTTCTTTATGTTATCTAAAGGTTTATATGTATTCACTTCAGAAAGATTATCATGATTATTTATTATTATATCTTTATTTATACTATTCGACATTATTCCATGTGTATTATTATGTGATATCATAGATGAATGATTTGTAGTTGTTAATGGATCATTTTCTTTTGAATCTAAAAATGTTGAACAAATATATTCGGATATTTGTTTGCCACTTTGACCAGCATCAGCGAATTGACTTAATTCTTTATTTAACATTTTCTTAAACTATAATTATAAAAAAATTAACGAAAAAAGAAACTGTAAGTCACTGTTGAGCTATAAAATGGAACATTGAAACATTTATTCAACAATGTAAGGAACGAATTGTTTTTTGGAGATGATTTGTGATCTTAAATAATAATTAGATCAAATGAAACATAATGAACGTATTTAGTTAAAATCAATTATTATTATTATTAGAGGAAAATACTTTGACATTATTCAAGCAACTGAATATAATAGTCGATTGGTGAGAAGGTAAACAATGAAGATCATGAAATATGGGTAGTAGTAGTAGTAGTGTGGTGAGTGCTACTTATATTGACATAAGCAGTATATTACGCGAGTCAGGAATGTAATGTCTGGCAGCAGAAGATTGGGAAGATTAAGAAAGAAAGAACGGGAATAGAAATCAATTAGTATAGAGATGCAAGAAAAATGAAGTTCGAGACAATTATTCAACATTTTTCAAATTATGTATTATAGTATAGTTTTTCTATTTTACCAAGTAACTCTGTGATTATATGCTAAATATAATTCGGTTGTCCTCACCTGTGTTTTCCTTCACCACATTTGGTGTCGCTGCCTCCACTAAGGAAGAAGATTCCATGGCCGAAGGAATTTGAGGACGGAGATGTGGTGGGCTTCCTGAAGGAGTTTGAGGCCGTGGCGGAGCTGGTGGGAGTAAAGGAGCCGAAGGCAAAGATGGTGGTTCTGGGGACTCTGCTGAGAGGCAGGGCGAAGGCTATATATGACAGCTTGGACGATGCTGGCGGAAAGACGACATGGGAGACAGTCACGGAGCGGTTGTCTGTCACCGTTTCCCAGCAGCTGAAACTAGTAAGCGCAGCGTAACCTATGGATATCAGTGAACTGGCGAAGGTGACCTGACAGCTGATGACACGAACAGTAGCTCCGGTAGGGTGCGGAAAGCAGGAGATAAATAGTGTCGAGAAGATTGAGGAGCTGGAGCCTGAGATTGCGGCAATACGAGTGAATCATAAAAAGAATGATAAATGTTCAATAATTGTCTCGGACTTCATTTTTCTTGCATCTCTATACTAATTGATTTCTATTCCCGTTCTTTCTTTCTTAATCTTCCCAATCTTCTGCTGCCAGACATTACATTCCTGACTCGCGTAATATACTGCTTATGTCAATATAAGTAGCACGCACCACGGTAGTATCTGTAGGTTACTAGTATTTAATCATAGGCTTATGTTTTGGTGCCATCCAATCGAGTGGTGCTGTGGTTAAACACAGGGAACTACGAAAAGATAACTAATCGGTTGATGAAACTGTAAATTTCCATCAACTGAAGTGGTTAAGACACGTGTTACTTGCTTGATCACACCTACTCTTTGACGTGTAATTTTAAAGGATGTAGGAATAAGTTGACTGAAAACTAGAGGCAGCCGAACTAAGACGTGGCGTCAGTCCATGAAGTTATATTGGTAGATTCACATCAATTCGTTGGGGTCTACGCAGTTATTATGATCGCGATCAGTAGTCAAAGACTTTAGGTGACATGCATGAAAATTAACCACTGATTATATTCTTCTAGATCTTGAGTTGTAAAAGTGCTTTATAATTTTTATACTCGAATTATCTACTGTAGGCTTAGTCATTTTACTACCATTAATGCTACTTTAGTATTTATCTTGATAATTTTATCTCACCGTGCTGACGTGGCAACTAAAACCGGTGTATATAAGTACCAGGTTTTGTGTTGATTATGATTGACTGAATTAATATTTTTTTATAATGCTTTTATATAACCATTATTGTATGTAGAACATGCTAACGAAGACACGCATGGAAACCTGCATTTTGGCAAAATTCTTCAATTTTCGAACAACGAGAAGTGTACTACGCTCAAATATAATTTTGAGATGGTACAGAAGATTTGTAGCTCAGAGAACAAAACTCCATGAAAATAATCCACTTGAGCTACAAATCTTCACCATCCTTATTGTAAGCTTGCTTTTTAACTCATTAATCACGAATGCATCTTCCGCTGCTTAAGAATTTGTTCTGAAATAAGCTGTTAAGAAGTGACAATCACAACAGTAAATATTTTATGAACTTTAATTTCAGAATCATATGAGAAATAAATATTATATGAATGGTAATATAAATGGAATTTTCGGTTATGACACCAAGAAATTCTCTAGTGTAAAAAGCCTAAAGTTAAGAGTAGCTTCTCATGGTAATTTATTTCCTTAGATTTAATTTTCAAATATTTAAATGTCAAACGTAACACCATTATAATGAAGTTTATGTAGGGTTATCTACTTTAAACAACTAGTCAACAATGATCAACAAAGAGTTGAGCATACATGTTCATTGGCAGAAGTTAACATTACCAAATCATCACAATGACGTAAAATTAACAAGATGAGTATTTAAATAAATGGAAATAATTGTAATAGTAATGATAATGAGAAAGATTAAACATTGAGAATATATGTCGAAAAGATAAAGTGTGAAGGCATTTATGAAGAAATACTAGAACTCAAGGTGAACGAAATAAAACTATTAAATGAACTACTAATAAACCTATTCTGTATGATGTCACATTGCGGTGCGTGCTACTTATATTGATGTATGTAGTATATGACGCGAGTCAGAAACGTAATGTCTGGCAACAGAAGATGGGGAAAGATCAAGAAAGGAAGAGCGGGAACACAATGCAATTTGTAAGAAAACGCATGAACAATGAAATTTGAAACAATGGATTGATGATTGCAACAGCAACAGTCTGGTTTGATATGATGGAATGATATTTTGCAAATTAACGATTTACTATATGGTTTTTCTATTTTACCAAGTAACTCTGTAATTTTGTGCTAAATACAATTCGGTTGTTCCCATCCGTGTTCTGTTCACTACAACATTTTCATGATAACTGGTTTATCTAGTAAAATGTATTCCCACGAAAAAAATTTTGAACGTAAGTCTTGTGGAAGTTTTGCAATAGTCAAGTTTGTTATCGTGTGAAATGTTTCCGTGTAGTAAGTAAGGTCTGAGCTATCTTTTAACCAGGTAATTTTTAAATAGACATTTGTATTACATATAGTTCTCTATATTTTACAATCATCATAAACCTTTTCATACCAATGAAATAGAATTGGAAGTTAAAAATGTAATTTAAATTTTATTCAACTTTATTGCTAGGAAGAATGGAAGTAAAAGGAATGTTAGGTAATGAAGATAGTGATTGATTGTGAACAAGGTGATCTCAAGTGAAGTCAGAAATATGATGATAGTTATTACTTCTTAGCTGATCATATTACGAGAGGATATTTCCCGTTGACATAGCTAAAATCGGCACTGGGTTAGGTGTGGCCTTGACCGCGGTACCCAAAGTACAAGTATTTGAAGTCGATTATATGAGGACGTCTTGTGAATAATCGTTGGTGTATTTGCCTCTTACATCTTATACTTTAACGCAGGTATTACATTTATAAAGTAAGATGAGGTGTACAACACTAAAGACCGACCTTTTCTACCATTTATTTTTATTATGGGAAGAGAGAAACGTACCAATGCTCAGCCATATCACTCTCTATCCAATCTGATCAGCATGAGAGATCCTAAAGGAATGGGCATGACAGACAATATTGCTCGGTCGGGTCATCACGATATGCAAACCTAACCATAACATCGAAAGACCAGCTACAAGTGGGTGCTTTATTACTAAATAAGGTTCTGAATAACCTATCAATAAAAACCTTATCTACAGACAAATGAAAGCGAAATTACGTTTAGGCTGATTTTCACTATAGATTAACTTTATCGGAAGAAACATTAAAAATCATGAAGCACCGAAGGGTTTTGTTGTATCAAGGTGGGACTCATCAACGTAGTGAAAACCGATAGCAACGTCAGGGATCGAGTCCATGGATTGTAGGTTTCATGGCAAACACCTTATCTTTGAACCGTTGAGTTGAAGTTTATACGTCATTCGATTCTGGATATAAAGTTAAGATCATCAAAGTGTCATAAATGATGATAAACATCTCATTTTTGACAGAGTTGAACTATATGACTCACAACCTTACATCAGGCTTTCAAGAATTCATCTCAACATTAGCCATTAATAAGCAGACGTGATTGATAAATGTTTAGTCTTTCTGAACAGTATAAGATATTAAAAGATTTCGAAACTGATCAGAAGGAGAAGTAATCGCATACAGGGAAGAAATATGTATGCATAAAAAATATTATAAGTTTTATGCGCTTTTTAAAAATTCTAAAAACACATACTACTTCTATTTAATCGTTGTAGAGTTAGGTAACCAAAAAAAAAGGAAACAATGTTTCATAAACTGTTAAACTTCAAGTTCACTACCACTGAATGACTTATATAGATAACAGTTGGTGAAAAAAACACATTCGGGAGCTGTTTCATCTTAGTATAGCATTCAGAAATGCATATCCACTACTTCATCAAAAGTTCAACACAGAACCTTCACATTTCATAGTAAACATCTTGGAACACTGACTTTTAATGGCTTATATCTCTAATTTTAATCGTTTATTGATATTAAAAGCTATAAGTTTAATCTCTAATAAGGTCGTGATTGTTCACTATTGAAAGATCTCATACTAGAACAAAACAGTTATTATATGTTTTCTAGTTTTCAATAATTGTCTAACAGAGATCAATCAATTTGTAACGTAAAATAAGTTTTCATTGTGAACTGATATAAACTAAAAATAAATAAATAAATAAAAACTGAATAATTGAATACAGTTTCTGTTCTCAGATCATTTAATAGTGTATATAACCTACTAACCTAATGAATATAATTGAAGAATTCAGAACGTTTAAATCTAATAGAGTATAGAATGATGATAGTATACATATATATATTACTAAATTCTACTTTAAAAATTCGACCGTAATCATGATAATTAGACTAAATTGTGGTATTATTATTAATCTATAATTAAAAGAAATATCTTTGAACTTGGCTATTTATTCACATTTATGAAATAAA